AGACAAAGATGTTGCCATTGCCACAATCTGTGCAGCATCTGATCAATTGAAATGTACACCAGGAAAATGCGATGGATTCATAACAGAGGAAAAATTCAGTTTGTATTGTGATGGTCTACATATACGCTAGGCACTGATCTGCCATGTCCTGGCAGAACAGAGCACTTCTAGAAACATGTTCTTCGGGTCCCAAATAACACATTACACCCAATTCAGTACTGGGGAATGAGACAGGAGTCCCCCATTTCAGCAACAGCAGTCCTTTAGGATGATAATTAACATTTTCGATGAAGTAGAAGACCACTGCACAACTGCTAACTAATTCTGCAATAACCTTGCTGCTCCAAATGATAACTTTTAGCAAGCGTTACTGTGTTTATCTAGGATACTATTGCTTCCCAGAAGTTATTATCCTTCTACTGCTTCAGCTGGTTCTAGTCATGACACAATGTTTAAACAGCTTACAGAAACAGGTTTTTCACTGTGATTCAGGACTGAAAGGAAGCAGCTGAAATGCGGGCACAGTTTCCACATTCGATTTGCCAGGGATCGGGGGGGAAGAATTAAGACACAACCACCCTGGCAGAACTGTTTTCAGAATGAATTTTGGAGTGCAGAAAGGAAATATTTTTATATGAAGCATCTAATATTCAACAGTGTTTACGAGTTCATTCAGAATGCCAAGCCACACATATTTTCAGCTGAAGAGCTGTTTCTTTACTACTCATCCATTAGCACCCAGCTCAATAAGGCCTCATGATCATTTACGCTTCTGACAAGTTTCAGCAGGTTCTAAGGCTACACAGTGGATTGTCAAAGTTAAGAGGAAAAAATGTGCTAAGTCTTTTTGTAATGAGAATTCAACTAATCAGAGCTCAGAAACTAAAAGCAAGCTTTGTTTTTCTTTAACTAAAAATAAACACATCATCCCCAAGAAACAGTCAAGATTTTCTTTGGGCGTCTGACAAGTGATAAAAGAATCTGCTAGATGTTTTGCATCAAAAATCATGTAAGAGTCACCACAGAGAATTTTCATTTATAAAAATATAATATAATCACACCAAATACTAAATCACTGTGACATTGAAGTAGAGAAAGAAAGCCTGAAGCTTTGGAGCACAAAGTACAAGGTTACCCACTTATGATTCAGTAAGAATTTATGGAAAAAATTAATGTTTTCAAAATTTGTGAGACAACAACATGGGAGTACTGCATCTAGTGACTAAACTGTGAGTGTGCAGAAGACATAAAAGAAATGCTAGTCTTTGTATGCACTGGTCAAATTATTTCTGCCACAGAAAAGAAAGCCCTTATGTTGCTCAAGATCTTAAGGAGGTTTTACCTGGAATACTGGTTGCATTGACTCAAAGAACAGATTCCAATAGAAACAGTAAAGGGTCATTAAGACAAGTACAAGAAACAAAGGTTGTATCTAAGAGATGAGACCCAGTTCAGAGTTTTTTGTCAATGAAATGAAGAGTGAGGGGGTATTTGTACCACTCAGTCATAACAACACTGTGGGGAAAAAGTCTCAGTGGAAGACCAGAATAGCTACTTGAATAGCAACGCTTAAAAAAAAGGCAACCAGTTAAGTGAACAGTAGAGCAAAAGGTCTCCAACAGAAAGGTCATAAGACAGTATCATATTCAGTTTTAAGGCAGAATTTGATGAGTTGATTTAAGAGCTTGGTGCTAGACTCCAGGAATCCCTTTTCTAATCTCACAATGCTGTATTTCTTCATGTGCCTATGGAAACAGAAAGAAAGGGAGTTACTTCTTTTATTAAAATTAACCTACATTGCCTAAATTGCCTAAGGGGTAATAATGAATAACCAGCATATGGAATAACAAAATAATACAGCAGGTGTTGATGAGCTCCTTAAATTAAGAAACAATTTTTTTTAATCATTTTTAGCTAGCTAGTGATAGAACATATAAACGCTCTATTCTATAAACAATTCAAAAGATTTATAACAAATTTTTTGCCTAAGATCTTCCATTCTTATCACCAAGGAAAGAATGATCAGAGGCGTAAGTAATTTCAGTTTCCTTCTCACAAACCTTGAGGTTTATGGGTACTGCTCCAAAAAATAAAGATTTATGAAGTACAATTCTTGCAGCAGTGTTTGTCAGGAGCAAAAGGTTACTTCTAAGATTTCTGTTCAGGAATTTAAACCCACAGGTCTGGCTCAAACCATCACCTCCAAAAAACTAAATGGATTAAAACTTTCCCTGGGCATCCTCTGTAGGTAATATCACTCCTCCTACTATAGATCATGCCTGTCTGAAGGGAAATAAGGGTTGCAAGAGTAAGACTTTCAGCAGCCAATAAACCAAATATTGTCTTGAACATTAATTTTAATCTCATCATCCCCATCTTCCAGAGTGAAAGACAATTCACTCCTCCCTTTCCAACAATCTGTTGTCATTTGTAAGAAAAATTCTTGAGCTAGAGAATAATGATGGTCAAAATATTTTTGGAAACTTTTTACTATTGTCATTTTTAGCTAAAGACCAATTTTGCATCCTTCTTCCCTGTGATAGCTGTAAGAATTAGTACCTGACCTTGAGCCTCTGGGAATTAATTCAGCCCAGTAGAAAAAAGATGCTGGACATGAATCCCTAGACCCCTTGACACTCATGGACTGTTGGGTTGGGGGGTGGGGTGGGAGAAGAGGGGTGTTCCTCTTGGGTTTGATTTTGTGTTGTTGTTTTGGGTTTTTTTAGGGGGTGGGGGTTGATGATTTGGTTTTGTTTGTTTGGTTTGAGGGGAGTGTGGTTTTTTTTAACAAAGTAGGAACCTATGTTCTCCTTTTCTATTTATTTCATGTCTAGACTGATATAGCTTAGTGGTATCTGATGGAGACTAATTGAGATATACAGTATATAGAAAAATGAATATGAACAAGGACTCAAATGTTACTTCCACTCTCCTACCCCAGAGCCTTCATTTTTGTCACTAAGCAATCAAATATCAGGAAAGAATTGTTTCCTTTTGCCCAAACTATTACAGGCTATGAGGTATCTGTAACATAGCTTGTGCTCTATTAGATATGTTATTCTTTCCCCACACATTAAGTATAGCACTGGATGACAGCAGAGAACTCATTTCACCTGAACACCAGAGCATAGTTACATTTGTGAGACCTAACTGAACAAGAGACATTTGATTCAAGAAAAGATTTTTGTGAGACAGACCTAGAAGAGAAAAAAAAAATGTTTTAGAGATGTCAGAACAGGAGAAAAACTCATCAAAATTGTGAAATAGTATTCAAGATTTTTTCCTCTTAACCTAGTCCTCATTGGAGGGACAGTGCAGATGTTCAAGATGCTACCATTAAAAAACAATAATGCCTATACCAGAACCAATTTACACCCCTAACTTGCTCCCAAATCCTTCCTCTCAACTCTTTCTTCAGAATTGATTCTATACAGACTCTTTTTTTCAGTCTTCCAGTTCAAGTGCTACCAGTCTAACCCTAAACAAGTACAATGCAAAGGCTTAGCAAGTACCAGTATGCACAGAATGAAAGTGTTGATAATTTTATTGATGCAATAAACAGGATTCTGGTAGATATATTGCACTGATCCCTTCTTTAATAATACCATGTTTGGTTCATAGATTTAGTACCAAAACTTCCATAAGCATTTTATTAACCATGTTATTTCTCCTCCTTCCAAATGCTATGTGGAGCTACTACCACAGAAGTCAGGTACACTAAAAGTACTAACCAAATTACAAATCACAACAGTTAGAGATGAGAAAGTTATGTTTCTAGAACATCCTGAACTGAATTATATACATTAATAAATATTAGAGGCAAATACACAGCTTATTGTGCTTAGTTGAAAGCTTTTTTTTTTTAAGACTACTTTTTAAATGGCTCAGTGGTAAGGCTTACCTACAAAGACAGTAAAATTACAGTAAAATCAGAAGAAGAGTGAGGAAGAAACATCAGCTGACTACAAGATGCTGGTGACAAATTAACTCCTTGAAAGGGCAAGTAGGAGAAGTAAATTGATACTACCTCTTCATAGACCAGGTACTGTGTCCACTTCTGTCACCTGGATTTTCAGGGGAAAAAAAAAAAAGAAAAAAAAGGCAAACAAAAAAAATACCTCAAATGATTTTTGTATTATAAGAGACAGACTGACTTCTTTTACTGTAAAGGGTCAGCATATTCAGTTCAAGAGCAAAAGAAAAAATAAAAAATCAGTGAATTCCCTTAATTAAATCCTCAGATAGAGAAAGAATGATTTCTAGCAGTAGATAATCCTCTAATTCAAGCAGAAGTATGAAGGTGATCCAGTATCTGGGAGCCAAAGTAAAGTCAGGAGAAGTATAAAACTAAGTTCAAAGCAACAAGGGTAATGCAACAGCATATTTAGATGTGTGAATATATACAGTATCACCTGAATTTTTCAAGTAAAGACAAACTCTGAAAAAAAACCAGTACAATGTAACATTCACATAGTACAGCTTGGTTTAGAAATTGCTATTCCTTTGACTTGCATTACAGAGGCTAAGAGAAAAACAAAGTAATTATTCTAATACAAAATTCAGACAACTAATATATTGCTTTTGAGGTATCATCATTTATATAGGTAGGAATATTTTTTGTGTATGTACCTAGTGCTCCACTTTATAACATTCACTGTAATTTAAAGCAAATAAATAAATTCCATTAAAAAAAGGTTTATTTAAAAAATATTTTTCTTTAATTTGTCATTAAGACAAAAATTGCATTTTTAAACGTCTATGAGGTGCAGGAAGCCAGATATTGAAGACTACATTCAAGATACTTTATTAAAATAATCCGGATATTAGCAAATGCCCAGCTACTACGCAACAGGTAAAACATGACAAAATGTTTTGAAATGTTCACTTTTTTCAGAAACAAAAGTCTGCTAAATTGATTAAGATATATACATGAGAAGTTATCTTGACAAGTCAGCAAAAACACATTGAGACTTTCAAAATACATGTATTTAGGAAAAAAAATGAACAAGATTAGGAATTTAGGACAAGGGGGAAGGGAATTAAATGTATGGACTTACATGCCTTACAAATTTAGAGCCTTTTTAAATTTCTTTTGCTTTGGGCACTTCCTGGAGGAGCATCTTTTTTGTTCTGTTTTGCAGATAAACTATTACAATCTTTTGACCCATGGAATGCACACAAACATAAAATACAGAACTCAAATGCACATGTTTCTCTGCTACATAGTCCCCGTTTCTTTATCAATTGATATTTAGCAGGATATTGACATCTTGGACAAGGTTTTATAGCTTCATCAGTGCACAGAGTTTTAGCAACCTGTAGCAAGAGGAGGGAGACGAGAGCTACTTAGACTTTGTAAATGAAGTTTCTAAAAACTGAAACTGAAGAGTTTCCTAGCTACTTACTTTGATGTATTCTTCCTGTCTACTGCTTGAATGGGGAACAGAACTGCATCTCCTAGGTGTAACTTCAGTGTATGAAGATGGCGTTTGTGAGACAGGAGTTCTGGCTTGAGCTTGAACAGGTCTTAGAGCAGATCTATTGAGGACATTAAGTCTTGTGGCAGCATCTTCAGCTTTCAATAAATATTCCTGTTAAAGTTGGGGGGGGAGGGGGAGGGAAGCAAGCAGAGAGAAGAAAAAAAAAAAAACAACAAAACATACACACAAAAGGAAATAAGGTTTTAGTTGAAATTTGCAGCTGGGTTTTGCCCCTTTTTTTGTTTTCCCTCTGCAACAACACATTAGGAAATGAAATTATGCATAGTGCCTGTATTTCCATTAAATATTTATGTTTAGTAAGAGAACAAGAGACGGGAACTATTAAAAACAAAGTCCCATGAACAGGGTAAAAAGCCAACTGCCTTTTAGCACTCTCTACCAGAAGTCTTAATGTTTCCAAACTTGGACACATCTCAACAGCAAGCATGGAAATAGCAAGTTTTGTCACAATTAAAGCAAGGTTATACTGAAGTGTGTGCGGACACATGTGGAGGATCTCGAAAAAAAAAAACCACAAACAAAAAAACCACAACCAACCCAAACATATATATATACACACACATATATATACATACACACTGCTATTAACATGCTTGCTTTTCTAGATGCCCCTTAAAAAACTTCTACATGTCCTGATGTTCACAAGTACACCATGAAGAAGCCTTGCCACAAGCAGTCCTGAAAATAAACAGGAAGTAGTCTAGGGTGCCTCCTACAGCATAGAGTGAAATAAAAAATGAGGAAAAGCATGGCACAAAGGTGTGAACAGGGTTTCAGATCTAAAGCCAGAATCAGTTAAGGAAGAGATCCTACAGGATACTCAAGTGGCATGGGGCAGGGCAGTGTCTTGCATAGCTGGAAGACTAGTACTCAAACTGTGGACAGTCAAAAAGTAATAAAAGCTATTACATTCTCCTACTAGAATCCTTCACATACTTATGTTGGAAAAGTACCAGCTACCTTTCTGTAGCTTTACAATATGTTTCCTCTTTCCTCTGACCTGTCTTGGTCCACACTTGGAAAAAAAAAAAAAAAATTAATTACTTTTGAGACCAACCTTACCCCAGCTTCTTCTTTCAGGTGTTTTATGTACAACTTCCTCCTCTTATCTGCACTTTTATCTTGTACAATGATTTCACGCCAACTTTTGCTTACTTCCCAAATGCTGGAACAAATTAATGAAAAAAGTTACCCACCTACACATTTTTGCCAAGAAGTACAGAAGTCACGTTAGTAAGACTACCTTTAAAAGATTTTTGCATGATTCCATGTCCTATTGGTCGTTTTGCAGACTACTGTTATATTCTAGTTCATCATATTGTTAGGAAATACAGCTCTCATATACTCTTACACACCACTGTATAGAATGACAGAAGAGCCTAAAGAACAGTTGCGATATAAATAACACAGTATCTTTGACTTACAAAATTCAGTTCCTTCCTTCCACTTACCAAGTTTGTTTCCAAGGTAACATTTTCATGCATTAAATGTTACCAAAAAAATCCATGCCTTTATACCTATTCTCCCATTCCCTCTAACTAACCTCTTTGAAATAAGTGACAGCCTCTATTGATTAAAAACTAATCTAGAATATTACTCAGGAAGCAAAATTCTTTGAGCATCTCTATACTTAGAAATAACTGAGGAAATTAAATACACAAGAAAAAAAAATCCAGAAAATGTGTTTTGAGTACTATGCATTGTTGGGGAACTTGTAATGAGAAGAACTTCCTACACTTAAATAAAATGTTAATATATTTTACATTTTAAAAATACTGTGATTTAGTTTTAAATTTACTAATTCCCATTATTGGCTTTTCATTTGTTTTGGTTTTTAATTCCCCCCATACAATATATTTGTAAAACTACACAGAAAGAGCCACTCAGTTAACGGCGACAAAACTTTTTAATTTTCTTAGAAACAAACAAAATCTATTGACACTATTCCAGAAATTATTCTGATTTATTTGCAGAAACATATATTTTTCTCTTTGGGGGAGGGGGCAGGAGGGAAAAAGGAAGCAGTAGTACTTACCTGCATAGACTTTCCACTGTCAACGCATCTAAAACTATAGAAAGAACATGTTTTAAATTTCTGTATTTTAACTCTGTTAAAATATCTAATTTTTCAAGGCCCATTTTCTTGCCAATAAGTCCAGCAAGAACATTTTCTAATGCAAATATTTCTGTTCCATCAATATTCTCTGATATTTGGTTTTGGTCTGGTCTTTGTCTTTGCAAGCAAATTTCATGAACTACTTTCAGAGCTGGAGTTCTTGAGAGGTCTCCATGCCTTACAACTACATCTCCACTAGGCTGCTCTGAAACTAATGCATGGTCTTCACTGACAAAGTTGCTTTCTTCTGTTAACATACATGCTGAAGTATAAGGACTGCCATGATGATCTTCTGTCTCTGACTGTGAGCCCTGCTCCCGAAGAGTGGATAATCTTCTAACTCGTTCAAGTTTTCTTGTCTTTCTTTTACTATCCAGAATTTTGGAATCTTCTTTACGTTTTTGGGACAACTCTTGGAAAGATCCCTCATGGTCAGACAATAAGTCTCCCGATTTGTCCAAATGAAGTGAATTATATCCGCTATCCTCAGGTGTTGAAAGATCTGGGTAACTTGCTAGCTTAACAGGGGGAGAATTTATATCACATAGTTCAAAGTTAAAGTTCTCTACAAGACTGTTGATGGAAGTCAGAAACTTACCCTCATTGGCCTCAGGTAACACATTGTAAGTAGGAGTCCTAAGCAACCCGTCAGTAACACTTAAAAGGGCACTTTCATTGAATTCATTAGCATTGCTAGCAATAACATCCTTACATGGAATTGGAGACAAACACTCTGGTTCTAGCAATATGGGATCCTTACATTTGGACTCATCTAGTGTAGAAGTTCTTTGTTGTGAAAAGGAAAGTCTCCTCTTCGAGCAATCAGGAATAGTGTCCTCAGTTTTTGAAGTACTAGTTGTAAGACAGTTGTAACCTTTATCTTTTCGAGAATCTGAAGCAGTTTGTGAAAGTTTTTCTTCAGAGCTCAAAACACAAGAGAGCATTTTCCCTGGGATGCTTCCTGAAGAACCAGCTTGTCTTTCACAGAATCCTATAGTTGTGTCAGCTGGAACAGCCTTAGATAAAAGCAGCCTCCTGCGTAATGAGGAGCTTTTTCTACTCACTTTAGGAGTTTCAAAAAAATCTGCACTTCTATTTGCTTCTTTTCTTTCTGATAAGGTGATAGAATTAATTTCATTTTCAATAGATGGTGACACAGGAAAGGGGACATTTGGACAAATGTGCTCAGAATGCTCTTGTAGCAATGATAAACTTGTTGCACTCAGCCCTTCTCTGTGTTCTACATCAGGATCTTTTACTGGCTCATTGCATTTGCTGTCCAAAAATAATGAAGTGCGACACATGTCCTTAAAACTGGAATATTTCAAACTGCTGCTGGGAGATTTTAACCTATTTCTTTTAAGAACATTGAACATTATGGAACTACTGTCCGACATCTTCTGCTTGGTACTTTGACTTTGTAAATGAGGATACCAGTGTTACTTCTGAAACAAATGATAAAAGTAGTCACCAAATCACCCTCAGATTAGTGAGAAAGCCTTTTGTAAATCTATCAAGCTAGCAGCCATAACAAAAAGTATTTTCATTAGTCCTAGGTAGAAACAGTGCTTATAGTTGAACACAAAGATAAATCACAATCAAGTAGATTGTTAGAATGACTAATTAAAATAAATAGTATACCACGAGGCATATTAAAATGTACATCCAGTTAGCCAATTGATCTGCCAATCCTCATCCAAGGAAAAACATTTCAAATAAGTAACACAGCAACTAATCTCATCTGTGCTGAAACTGGTGAGAAAACTCTCTCATTCCAACAATACCAAGATTCTTATTAGCACTGCGATACTGATACATCCAACCACCAACAGTTCAGTTCTTAAGAACTCGCAGGAGCTATTAAGAAGGTTTAGACAAATTTTCCTTGAGAAAAATGAGAGGATTAAGCATGAAGTCACAAGTCCATAAGTCTCTTATTTAGACCCCTACAGTCCCTGGGTGGAATAAAATCTGACCTCTAGTTACAACGGGAACAGTAGTGCATTCTTACCTGCATTTAAATGTTATCTTGTAAAGAAGCTCTCTGCTTTTGCTCAGTTCTGTGTGTAAACTGAGTGTTCTGAAGCTTTACGCTTTAAAGAAAGTGATGGGTTGGCTATACACATTCTCTCATCACGGACACAGAAATAAAGTTTCCTTCAAACTTATTAAGTATAAAAGCTTTTAAGAACTACTACATATTTCCCTAGAAAAAAGTTACAAGTGATTGATGCATCCACTGAAATGAGATATAAGAATACAGACTTATTTTTTGGCATTCATGCACTAACCAGAATAGCAGTGGGTCACTGCTTTCTGAATACAAGACAAAGTAAAAATGCTATGAATAAATGACAGTCTAACAGCTGTCCTCACAGAAACCGTAGGAGTTCATGTCAACATCGAAAGACTCAAAATTTGAATGAGCATCTTTTACTAGGGTATGTTACTGGCCTCTAGAACTGGTATTCTGGAACATAAAGCCTGGAAATATTGGTTGAATTTTCAGAACAGACAAACACAGGAAACTTTAAAGATGTCTTAACCATCAAATACCAAGACATAGCTAATATTCCAAAAGTTCTGACTTAGTCAAGCCCCTAGACACCAAACACAAGCAGTGGGAACCCAAATTGCCAAGGGGCTAAGGGGGAACTATCCTTTGATGATCTTAGATGATTTAATTAGCATTTTTTGACCCATACTGAAAGCACTTTAAGATCATCTAGTTCCAACCCCCTGGCCATGGGCAGGGACACCTCACACTAAACCCTATCACCCAAGGCTTTGTCCAGCCTGGCCTTGATCACTTGATAGGGTTTAGTGTGAGGTGTCCCTGCCCATGGCAGGGGGGTTGGAACTAGATGATCTTAAGGTCCTTTCTAACCCTAACTATCTTATGATTCTATGATCATTGCAGTATAGAAAATGCTTTGTTTTGGTTTCTACTCTGAGGAGACAGCAATGTATAGAAGATCAAAAAGAATAGGATTTTGATCAGCAAACAGAACTTGGCAAAAAGGCCTACAGAATCATGTTGTATTAGTATGAAATAAATAGATTTAAAGCAGCAACAACAATAACAAAAGAATCTACCCATGTAATTGAGGAAAATTCTTCCAGAAAAGAAAGGTATGTAAAAATAATTCCAAGATGACAACAAACTCTGAAGTCTGGTCTTTTTCTTTTCCCTCTCCCATTTACCTCTACAGGTACCTTATTTTCACATTTGTTTTTCCCTCACTGAGCTTTTTTCATTCCTCGCTTTCATTTTGTGAAATAAATGACAGCACAAATAGGAAACACAAGTGCATACCATTAAGCTAATTATTAAATGAATTAGGGATAACTTCCTTAACAGTGGAGGACCAACTCCAAGCAGTGTTTACTGTTTCATCTGCCTCACTTTTCAACATTTTAGGCAATAGGCTGAAAATGCTGTGTTATGAACTAGAAAATAACTTTAAAATATAGGAAAAAGGTATGAAGAGTCTTTGTAGCTTGTTGCTGCTCTTCAGATGATCATTTACACTAACAGCAGAGAACCACATAAGCACATCTCTTGTTTTCATAAAAGGAGGAAGACCTGTAAGAAACCTGTAGTAACAATAAGGCATTATCATTGTATAATCTGCAAGAATAGAGCTTTTAGTTTTCTATGCTGAAATCTGTGGAAGTGCAGTAGTTCGCAGATGTTGTCAGGAGATATTCCTACCAAAAACGCTGATAAATAGACCTTTAAACTTTGAGTGTTACTTAGAGTTGGCTATTCAAAATCTCAATGTCCCCACCCCACACACACCAAAAATCACATACCCACACTTACCTTTAAAAATATTAATATTTTCCTTAAACACTGTGAAACTAACCACACATTTAACAAAAGTGCACAGGCTTGGAGGTTTAGAAACTTAGTGTTCAGCCAACATGCTGAAGGAATAACAAAAGGAAAACCTCACTCTTCAAGTTTCATTCTCAGACATTCCATGCGAGAAATCACTTAACCTTATGAACAACTGAAAGTAGAGGAAATTTAAAATATTACAGCATAAAATAAATTAAGCAAACTTGTGCTTCAAATAACATAAAAATCATAGAAAAACAAGTTTTTGCAGCTGTAGGGGAGAAAAGAATAGCAGAATTAAAGGAAGGCTGATAATTCAAGCAAAAGCTAAAAACACGCTGTAAATACGCCAGCGCCCAGCAGGAGGAGCCTGTAAACTTACTAGATTGATTTTGAGAGAGCAACTTCGAAACAATTTTAAGAAAGCTGCCGCAATACAGTAGTGAACAAAGTCCGTTACACTTCTTTACAGCAAGTCCCTGTATACGGCTGAGGTTTGCATACACTTTTTTCCTTGTAAAAATGAAAATTTAGTTTAACAAAAAGTCTCATTTTACAGATACGCTACAGAAGGGAAAGGCTTTCAGAGTTGATGAACATCTCTCATAATGGAATGAGATGCTACTCACATTCATAAGAGATGTTTAATAAAACCTCTTATGACCTATCTAAATTATAACACACTCAATTTTTTATGAGGGGAAATTTTCATCTACTAGATCCAATACATCAAGCTCTTTTCATTTTGTGATCTTGAGGTAATTTCTGAAAGCATTGTTAACCTTGGCTTAGACATCATAAAACACATGTGCAGCAAAGACTGGTCACACAAGCAAGTCAGTTACAGAGGAAGGGCTAAAATCCTTATCTTCTAGATGCAGATTCTTGTGCTGTATGCATTTTTCACATCTATTACCAATTTTGTAGTTCTCAAATGGATCTACAAGTCAACCGCAACATTCCTGGCAGTTTACAAAACAAAATATTTCATATTTAGAGTCCCAAACTAAATTAAGAACAGGATTCTGGTATTTAGACAAGGAATAATTTCTTAGACAAGAAACTGTAAGACAACCTTGTAAGACAAGCTTAGTCTTACAGTGTCCTAAAGAGATAAAAATGTTGGTCATAGAAGGCAGTGATAAATGATGCCTATAACTTAAACAGAGTTCCTAGGATGGAGTCACGCTTGTTCACAATACTAATTTACATTCCCCAGTAACACACACTGAACACTGATGCATTGAACTTTTCTGTCCTTGCCACCATTGTTAACAAACACAGATAAAGGCAAAGTTCCAGTGATACAAGACTTATTTTCTTTGTTGGTTAAACAGATACCATATCTGCAGTAAAATTATCTGAAGACCCTGCTCTGTAAGCATCCATATATAAAAACAGGGAAGTCATTAATGTCTTCAAAGGTATTAATATTGAAGATGGTATAGCTAGGTCTTATCTGTAAGATGTGGGTCACTTACCCTAATTTGTGAAGCAACTCGAAATCTTCCAAAGGAAAGGTTCTGTAGTCAATGTATTGTTTACCGCTACTGATTAGCTAAAGTGAGAAAGGATGTGGAAAGTAGAGACAGAGGTGCAAGAGAAACGTTATCTAGCTAAGACACAACTGTCAGTTCATCTATGCGTTTACTGCAACGTCTAATTACCCAGCGATGAAGGTAACGGCTACCTAGGGACCAACCCCCGAAGGTCCCTCAGGCACCTGGGATGCCGGACACAAGCTAAGCAACAGCTTTACTCTCTCATCTGGCAAACGGCTGGGCACAGGATTCAGAGCATAGAGGCCCCCTACCACCGAGTGCAGCTGAGCCGGTTGGCCGAACTCCCTGAGGGCTGAAAGCAAGGACCTGCAGACTAGAGGGAACGGGGATCCTACCGCTCCAGCAGCTCGCCGCCCGGCTCTGGAGCCCGTTGCCCTTAGTGAGGAGCCGCTTCGCTTCTCTCCACCCACACCGGCTCCTCGCGTGCGGCCGCCGCCGCTTTCCCTCTCTTAGATTTGAACTACCCGCCGCACCAACCGCCCCACGCTGCCTCCCCCACCCCTTTCGTGCTGCGGCCCTCGGGACAGGCAGGGCAGCGGGCTGACGGCCTGAGCCTGAGGAGAACGGCTCCGCCGAACATGAAAGCCCACTCCTCCGAGACACGAAAAGGCTCACCCTTCTCCTTTCACTTTATACTTCAGCCCTGCGGCCCCCGCCGCACCCAGCCCACCATTAAAGGCACCCCCGAGTCGTTCCTCCCCGCGCCCTGCTTCTCCTCAGGTGCCTGGGGAGGGCGCGGTTTTCCCTCCTCTGTGGGAACCCTCTCAGCTCCCTGCTGGGGCCGCCAGGGCTGAGGGGGGGGGGGGGGGCGCGGGGCTGCAGGGGCTCGTCTTGATCTCAGCCAGCCACAGGCTTTCACACATAACGAACTTTACACCACAACTTTTAAGGTTGAATTATAAGGGTGCTGATTAATTCGAGTGAATTAGTACGTTTGTACCCGGCAGCCCAGAAACAAAGCAATCACCGAGCGGTTGTCAAGCGTCATCTAAATAAAATGTCGGGTGGAAGACAGAAGTCGCTTAGGTTTTGCCTGGTTTTAGTTAATCTGTATATTAAGAATTAAAAAAGGGAATAAACAAACCCACGAGTACTTAGGTGCCTGGTTTTTGTGAGCTCGGTAAGGATAACGTGGGGCTACACCGGGGGGGGGAAGCAGGAGCTTGCTACACAGGGGCATAAAGAAGACCCAATTAAATCACTGTAGTGTTCTCCTTCTGCTGGGTATTATTCCCCTTCATCTCGCTAATATTACTCCGGGTTATCTCTAATTTTGTTGCTTCTTTCCCTCTTCACACTTCCAGTTTTCTTCCTCCACCAAGACAATGAAGGAGAGATCGTGTGCGACTCTAAAAGCAACACCTACATCTAAAGAGGCAAAGCAGAGGCTTTCCAAAGAAACGCCGAAATGAGGTACTGTCATCCCCAAATTTGCAGCGTTCCCCTCTGGCAACCTCCAGTCTCTGACAGCCGACCTGCCCGGCAGGCTCAGAGTGGCTTCAGGGAACACGGGCTTAAGAATCAGGGTATCTGATCTTTGCTTTTTAGAAGAAGAAATCGTTAGAAACTTTCCAGAATGTAATACAATTTTTCCAGAAGTGCCTTCTGTAGTATCGTCTATTTCACGTGTATCAGAAGAAAACATGTTTCAAATAGCTGTATTTATTTATTAAATAAATGATTTTTTTTCATGTGAAATTGGCAGCTTGTTAGCTCCTTAAAGCGGACCAGTAGCTGCAAGTTTTGTCTCTTGTCACTCAAACCCTGATAGACCAAAAAAAAAAAAAAAGGAACAATTTGCAATTGCCCCATTTAATGCAATACACAGTCATCGCACTAAAAACAAAGCGCGATTTAACAAAAAGCATCACACACCCACCAACCAATCAGAAAAATCCAAACCTACACTACAAACCCAAACCCTCCAAACCTGAGAACATTGCTTCTAAACAAAACGAGGTAAGACAGTCTGCAACATACGCTGCGCTTGGCTCTGACCGCATTTGTTTATCACCTAGAAGTACCCTGCATCTCCCCGCCTCGCGCCACAAGCCTTTCCTTACGCTTTCTTACCAATTCCCCAAGAGCTGTCTCACTTTCTGGGACAGTGGAGGTCTCCTACACAACCTCCAACCCTTTCTGCTCCTCCAAATCCAAGGAGCGTCTTTAGGGCGAGAGTTTATCCGCCCGTCAGATCACGGACTGCTCTTAAAGCGCTCCTCTGAGGGAAGTGGGCTGTTTCAGAAAAGACTAGAGGAACTGAACCTTTAAGATCTGGTAAAACAGATCCAAGCGAACAGGTAAAAGCTGCGAATAATCAAGCAATTATAAGATTCCTTCCCTAATACGGGAGGCAGCTTCACAGAATTAACTTCAACTGACTTTTTCATGGTGTGGAGTTATTGACAAGTTGTTTTTTTTTTTAATTATCGGTTTGACAAACACGTTTTAAAACATAAAACGGGCGTGGGGAAATAACAGGGTTTTTTTCCTGTTTGTTTATGAGATGGTAATTACTTCGCATGCATTTACCATTAAAGGAAGGGTTCAGGTTTCCCCCCGTCTCTGCTTCACATTCCCTTTATTCTAGATATTTATTCAGAGCTGCCTGAAATCACTACTGTATTTTCATTACGTTTAACTTAAATAAAAAATTAGGAAGAGCGCAACTATTTATTATTCGCCGAGTTTATTTTAGATAAACTGTAGGTAATGTATGAAAGTGATTTGCTACTATGAGAACAGTATCAATAAATTACCATTGGTAAAACCTCATGCACATCCACGCATCTGGGTGGTTAAGGAACATTTTATACTTAATATTCAGGAGAAGAAATACATGTCCTTAAATTAGGGAACTTTTTAAATGATTAAGTAATTTAAATTGGCATATTCTCAAAACAGTATTTGTTAAGCATTTTTTCCAGGAATAAAGCAAAGATGGGTTATTCTGCTAAATGCCCAGCGAGGATTCCAAATCTGCAGCGCCAGTGACGCTGAGCCAGGGACCGAGAGTGCAACCGGTGTAACGCCAGGTCTCTTCTGTGCTATTCCAGTTCGGGAATCACCGACGTTTGAACTTCTTTCATAGTAACTCACACTTAAAATGTGTTGTATCGCGGCTTGTAAATTTGGATTAATACGGGTACATATGATACTGCCCGCAAGCTTAAAATACTTTTACAAGGGCATGTAGTGATAGGACAAAGGGGAATGGCATTAATCTGTAATAGTGTAGATTTAAATTAGACATTGGGAAGAATTTATTTACTATGAGGCGGTGAGGCACTGGCACAGGTTGCCCAGAGAAGCTGTGGCTGCCCCATCCCTGGCAGTGTTCAAGGCTTTCAGCAACCCGGGCTGGTGGAAGGTGTCTCTGGCCCTGGCAGGGAGTTGGAACTGGATGAGGTTTAAATTCCCTTTCAACCCAAACAATTCTGAGATTCTATGAATACTAAGATGCTGCTTTTATCCAAGTGTCTTGGATAGAACTGAAGACCCGTAGGCGAACGCCCGGGCGTGTTAAAGCCCCACAGCTGCCCTACCCGCGCACTCACAGCCGGTCGGGAGCCGCCACACCGAAAAGCCGGGTGCGGTCGATCTTGTCGCGCTACCCCTGCACCGCCCGCTGTCTTCTTCGCACACTGGCGATACGATTCAGCCTGAACGTTTAAGAAATGCCACCGAATATTCTGCGTTTTCCTCATGAGCGGTTAACGCTCACAGTCATTCTATAAGCATTTATTGCTTTCTCGGCTTCATTACTAAGAGGGGAGGAGACTGAAGGTGTCGGGATTAACCGGCCGTGCGGGGACTTCCGCGGCTACCCTGGTCGTGCGCACCCCAGCTCTAGCGGCCGGTACCAGAGCGTCACGCCCTGATGTGCAGGGCGGTACCGGCGCACGGTGTGTCGTCATCAGCCGGCGCCGTGGGCAGAGCGACGCGGGTGCAGTTGCTGTGGAGGCGAGTGGCGGTTCGGGTTTTGTTTGGGGGTTCTGGGATTCTCCCGTCGGAGCCGGTGGTCCCCTTTGGAGCGGGAGCGGGGAGGTGGAGAGATGGAGAGACCGTGGCGAGCAGGGAAAGGCCTGGCCTAGCCTCGACCTTCGCTCCTGCGTAAATGTCCCCGGGGAGGTAGGGGGGGCCCCGGCGCGGAACTGGGGCAGGCTGGGGTGCCTGCAATTGAGGAAGGCCGGCACCCTCCGTGGGTGCTACGGGACGTGAAGTAGCGGGTTTGTCTCTCGCAGGTACGTAATAGCTCGGCCGGCGCCCTGCGTCTTGGCGGTAGATGGCGGCTGCACCGGGGTGTATCGCCGTGTGCCTTTTGCCTGTGGCACCTCGGCAGTACTTGTAGTTGCAGTGTACGTGGAGGCCGGCCAACCCATGGCACCTCACTGCAAAATACATAGCTGTAGTCTTTAGTAGTAGTAGTATTTTGCTGCATGAGCAGCACTCAGTGTGCCACTGCAGCTGTGGTCCCTCCTTAGTTCAGCTCTCTCGCTTGGAAATTGCTCTTTTCAAGTGCTAATGAATTATTATAGTAGATTTTACTATATTGTTACTATAATTATCACTATAATGTACTGACACAAAAAGGCTAACACCTGTGGATCAGGATGCCACTGTGGTTAAGGTAGAGCAAAACCTTACCTGAAAGCTATAGAGTTTAATGGATTATTTCCAGTTCTCTCAAATGGAGTGGCATAATGGAATTTTAAAAAGGTGGTTTGTTAGGTGCTGCCTAGACTCTTAAACAGGATGAACTGCTTCTGTCAAGCCTATCATTCTGTTTTCAAGACCCTAGATCAAACAAACTGTAAAGATAGGGAAATAATCTTTACTGTAATATTAAGCAAAAGCAGCCAAGAGTCATGCTTATAAAGAAGTATTATGAATGCGATTCACTGGCATAAGGGTTAAGAATCTTTGTCTCCTCTGTCAGGCAGAACGGTGACATAGAAAACAGCTACCTCAGAAGATTAAAAAAAAACATGTACAAGGAGATATATCCTAGTCTAGTCTTGAGCTGTGTGGAAAAAAGTGATTATCTGTCTAGTGGTTACAGGAGCAACCTTGAAACTTACGGTTGCAGCCATATTTCTGTTAGAATAGGATTACTTAAAGCTTGGTAGCATGTTTTTGGAGGATATGTAACTATTTAGTCTGATATACTGTAAAGGAATGCTTGTCTTTAAATAAATCCAAACAATGAAAAATGTCATAGGGCATTGAGAAGTGTTTGAAGAGTAGCACTGTGTTACCAAACTCTTGATCAGTTTGATGACTGCACACACCTATGTTAGGATTCTGAGGGTGGAATTTCTTCTCTCTGCCCCTTCCTCTCCCTTTTTTTTTAATTCCTCTTACTCTTCTACCTACAGTCTGTTCCAAGTATTTATAATTCCTTAAATCAATGAAAAGGTAGATTAGGTTAGCTAGTGTTGTATCAGAGGGGGAAAGGGAAAATGCAAGGCTTGTCTTGTTTTATGATAACTCTGTTGATAATAGTGTTACATAAGAAAAAAATCTCTTTTTACGTTTCTAGTAGGGCATTAGCAGGAGGTAGGAATAAAATATTAATTGGGTTTTAATATTTAGAATCTCATTAAATAGAAAATGTCATGCTATCTACTGTGGAGTCCTCAGTACAGGAAAGTCATGGACCTGTTGGAGAGGGTCCAGAGGAGGCCACAGAAGTAATCAGGGGAATGGAGCACCTCTGCTATGAGGAAAGGCTGTGAAAGTTGCGCTTGTTCAGCCTGGAGAAGACTCTCTGAGACCTTATTGCAGCCTTTCAGTTCTTAAAAGGGGCTTATAAGAAAGATGAGAAGAGGCATTTTAGCAGGGCCTGTTGCTATAGGACAAGGGGTGACGGGTTTAAACTGAAAGAAGGAAGATTCAGGCTGGACATGAAGAAAAATTTTTACAGTGAGGGTGCTAAAACACTGGCACAGGGTGTCCGGAGAGGTGGTGGATGCACTGTCCCTGGCGACATTCAATGTAGTTCTGAGCAACTTGACCTAATTGGAGATATCCCTATTCATTGCAGGGGGGTTGGACTGGATGATCTTTGAAGGTCCCTTCCAGCCAAACTATTGTACGATTCTGTGATCTTTGGAGGTTTTCTATACCAGCTTGGTAAAGCTCTGAGAAATCTGATGTTACTTTGGTTTTGAGAAGCTGAGCTTTAGACTGAGATATTGAAATGATTATGTATGCCTTGAAAAAGTAATTAAAAAAATACTTGATGTGCATGTGTGTTTTGTTTAGAGCATGGATTCACAGAAGGATGTTCAGCCTCCAAAGCAGCAGCCAATGATCTACATTTGTGGAGGTAAAGACATCAATTTTTTTACTTGTTACTGGAGATTTGGTGTTTTAATAATGAAGAATGCCTAATTATCATACTGAATAGTGCATAAATATGAATAGTTGTAGTGTGGATCCTGGTGTTCTTTAAAGTTTTACACACTGATGGTAGCACATACATGGAGTGTATTTGGATAGCAGTGTGGAAGTAATTCATGAGAGCTTGTGGAGATTGCTGTGTGGAGGTCATCCACCTCCAGAGGACGCTTTCTCCAAGTGTCTGCTTGTGGTGCAAACAGTGGACCTTCTATTTAGTGCACTTAAGGAATTTTTTGAAAGTGCCATGTGGTTACTCATCTTTTCTTGAAGTGCAGTAGTCAAATTCTCACTTATCTATCTGTAAGTCAACAACTTAAGAATTGGTGATTTTGAGCCATCACTTTGGGAATACCTGAAGTATTTTGTCTTTAAGAAAATAAACTTGGGGGGTTGGGAGAATGAACTGAAGATTTCATTAGTAGGCAGTCTAGTTGTATCAAGAGTGGAATATGTTCTGTACAGTAATAATCTGGTGATTTTTAGCAAGATCCTCTTTGATCTTAATAGGACTGAAGATTGTCAATTTATTTTTTTTATGCAGTATCTTGATACCATTCAGCTCTTGCTACAAATTCTCTGCAGCTGGTTTTTTTGTTACATTTGCCACAAATAGGAATTTGTTAGGATTTTTGAAAGTTGCTGGTTTTGTTTACCCACTCTCTTTATCTTCATCATGTCAGAATGTCATACAGAAAATGAAATAAAGGCAAGAGATCCTATCAGATGCAGAGAATGTGGCTACAGAATAATGTACAAGAAAAGGACAAAAAGATGTATCCTTTTACACATGCACTTGACAGCATTTGGGAAGTTGTGGGTGGAGACAAGATGTATATATAAGGGAAACAGAATGGAAGATTTGCGTTAATGAGGTAAGAATCTTTCAAGGCCAGAAATCAGTACAGTAGAGTGAAATCTCTGCAGTGTGATTGGGCACCTTGTATTTTTCCTGGCACTTTCTGTCTTTTTGACATTTTCTATGCAAAATATAATAAGCTATGATAGTATGCTGGGTGGTGTACTATGGATTGTTGGTATTACTCAGCCTTTTAAGAAAAGCTGATGTGGAGTTAATTAAAGATGAGTTTTGAAATGCTTTTATGTAGTTAGTTGTGATTTTAGATTTAGACAGCCTTCTTCCTCCTCATCTTTTTTTTTTCAACCACAACACGTTTTTTCTCTAACTGCGCTATTCCAGTGGTGGTTTTTGACGCCCGATGATGTTTGCTGAAGATACAGTGATGTAATGAGGCAGTTTAATCTTTCTGATAACTTTGCTTTGTAAATTCATTCATGTACAAATGCACAATGTTATTTGTGTTTTAAGAGATTGAAATATTAAAGTTTACTGTTATCTAAATTATGTCTATATTGTCTTCCAGCAGTAGGTTTCTAAACTTTAAATTATAGTTGGGAGTATGCAGTGGTCATTTTAAGTTCAGTGGTATTGTGTTCTTTTGAGTTAACCTTGTTTTCATTACTCTCATCTAAACTTTATTTGCATTTTAGCTTCTGTTACATATTCTCTGGACTCCTATAGGCTCCATAAAGTAACAGTGGTTTGAATAAATTCTACTGAAAATAATGAGGTTACACAAGGCTAGGCCTGAAATGCAAATCTCCATCTCAAAAGAGCAAATCTCAAAGGACTCAAGAGCACCCAATTCAGGCACCTGTTTGTAAAAGAAGTATCAAAAAAATAATCTCTCAGAAAAGAAGAGGGGAGGCAAGGTGAACATCAGGAACAATGTGTAAACAGGAATTCCCAGTGTGCTTCTTGTCTTGGTTATGCTCAAGGAAAGAATTAGATCTGTGCTATAATTTGGGTAGTGTCCCAAAACAAAAATAGCATCTTGTTTTGCTTCTCTGGTGGCTTCTCAGGGGTCTGTAATAAAAACATCAAAGTGGTTTTGCATTGATGAGCCAGTGCTTTTTTTTCACCTATTTGGAGTATGTGTTAAAATAGTTTATCTCTTATCAATATAGTGAGGTATCCTTGTGCCAGATTGCATTGCTGTGTACTGGCTCATAAATGAACTGCAGTGGGTCATTTCAGCTGATAAAAAGCATTCTTAAGATTATATTTTGGAGCTGTTTGATAAAGATTGTCTTGGGTATCTTATCTCATTTTAGCTGTAAACACATTTCTTAACTCATTTCTTGGAAGCCAGATACACTTCAGTGTAAATGCATTAGAATATAGCAGTTTTACTACACCGTTGCAATCGGTTTGTTCTCCCTACTGGCACACGTAGCATGCAGTGGGTGCCTGAACAACAGCAGTGAGGGCTCGAAGGCTTCTGAGAGCTGCCCACTGAGGAGAGGGCAGTTTTCGTGCTGTAACCGGCCTGGTGGCACTAAGGCACGGGCTCTGCGGAGCTGTGGGCAAAGGCAGAGATGAGCATCTGCTCCCATTAGGAAGTGGTGCGGGCGTGCTTCAGAGAGCAGTGCCGGGGACTGCAGGGCGGCACCACTGTAGGCACCAGCGTTGGGAGGGGATTGTTCTAAGCTAAATAAAATACTACATTGAAAACAAACCGGGCTGTAGTTTTAATAAAACATAACCTAAATGCTGTGTTTCTGTGTCGTGACTCCGTCGGCACGCGGTGGAGGTCGAGGAGCGCCCCCGACGCCACTCTCCTTAGGCCTAGCGTTTCGCTGCCGCCCCTCACCCTCCGCTACACACGGCTCAGCAGCGCATGCGCGGCTGGAGGCGAGCGTCCGTCGGCTGAGGCGAGGTCTCGGTTGCATTCGTCTCCCGAAGGCAGTGCGGCACCAGGCAGGTGAGTGCGGGTGTCCGTTGAGCCGGTGCTGCTGCTGGAGCTCAGAGGGGCTGCGCGGAAGCCTCGCAAGGCTTTTTCACCGAGGGGGGCAGCTGTGCTGCCCTGCTGTTGCCCTGCGCCCGTCCGTGCGCGCCGCCGGCCGCCATGTTGTACGTAGCAACAGTTGCTAGGGACCGGGTGGCCGCGCTGTGGTGCGAGGGGAGCCGGCGGTGTCGGCTTTAAAGTAAATTCCTGACGCCGGGAGTGAAGGCGGTACTCTCAGAGCCGCCGAGCAGAGCTCGGCGGTGCGGCTGTGGGGAGCTGCCCGCAGGCGAGGAGCGCGCTGGGATGCGGTGGTGTCGTGCGACCGGAGGGTCCGCGTCACCGCCTGGCCCGAGAGATGCTCCGGGCAGCTCCCCGACAGCTACGGCAATACACGGGAGAAAGTGCTGCAGTCTGTGATGAGGGCCTTTCTTGCTTTTTACTCCTATTGTTTCCTGTATTGCTCTGTTTCTCCTCTAGTGAAACCGCATTCTCAGGACAGAATCCTGTCTAAGCAATACCTAATTACGACCAGTTACAATGAATATTGCTTAAATAATAAACCTCTTTTTGTGCAACTAAAAATTAATGCGTGTAATTATGTTACTTTAAATGAGTTTATGTTCCTGCGTTGATATTATTGTGTACTAGCTAGCTGCCCTTGTTAAAATAGCATCACTTTAAGCACTATATAACATGGGGAGGAAAAAAAAAAAGAAGAATGTGTGCTTCACAGAGCTTGGAATCAAAATAGAAGAAGATGCAGATAAGCAGTTCAAAGGTACAGGGAGACAGGAAGTGTGCCATTTGAAAACCTCATTTCATTAGTTACTTCAGAACTTACTGGAAAAGGTTTAGATTAGTAAACTAAGATAATCAGAGGTCCAGAAAATACAGTTAGTAAAGAAAGACAATTGGTTTTATTTTGGCTAAAGAGAAGGCAAAAGTTACCATTCCATTAGATGCACTGAGTTGGTTAACATCTTGCCTTTGAAAAAAAGTACAGGGTACTGCACCATCCACACCACATTTGTCTTAAAATAGATAATACCATATTGTGTTTAAAGAATAATGGAGAATCTAGTAGGCAAAAATTGATATCTTTAAGCACTCTTTCTGACATGTTCTGCCTTACAGAATCAGTAGACTTATCCATATTCTTTTTTTCCAAAGCACATCTCATAACTGTACTTCTATAAGCAAACCTGTGTGAAAACCAGTTTGTGTGGTTAGGTCTTAAAATCTGAATTTTTTCTTTTGTGGCAGTTGTTCTGCTTGCAAAACAGTAGTACTTCTGAGCATGAGTAGGATTATTTCTTAAATTAGCATTGCTTTAAAATATAACTAAATGCCAACAGAGTCGCTACATTTGTTCCCTTTTAATATTTAGTTATGGGTGATGAGTCACTACCTTTTTTTATGGACCAAGGAACCACTAAAACATTTCAAATACCCATTAGCCACTTGGACTACAAGTTCATTGAAAAATGTACAGATGTTAAACACCTGGAAAAGATTCTCAGGATATTAAGGTAAATGTTATATTTTCTTACCTTCATTACTAATTATATTAATGCTCTGTAAAATTCAACAGAACCTGTACCTAAATATTCTATTTGTCTTGAACCTTTTTGTGACTTTCTAATTAAAAAATTAGAAAACAAAATTAATTTTGTTAAAAGTGTCCAAATGATAATGCTAGAAATCCAAGTCTTGTTCTAACCATCCAAAAGATTTGAGTAACCCAGTGCCAGTTTTTCTCAAATACTGCCATCTTGCCTGAGTGTAGTCATTTCAGATGCCATTCATGTTTAACTTCTACAGAAAAAATAAACAAACAATATTTTTTTCCTGAGCACTGTGATGATAATTTTGAACTGTGTATGTATGTGCATTGGAAAGTGGTTGAAGCCTAACTGACTGGAATTTTCTGGTTATAGTCGAATTCAGTTGTAACAGGAAAATAGTCCTCTGCAGTCTCTGTGATAACTATACATGAAGAGAAATATGGAAGATGCATTGCAGTTCAGTTCTGTAACTTTTATATCTTTTCATTTTAAAGGTCTGGTGAGGAGGGATGTTATCCTGATCTTACATTGTTTTGTGAAAAGCGTATTGAGCACTTAGATCCAAGGAGCAGGGCTCTGAGAAAAGAAAAACCTGCAGCCACAGCTTCTGATTTCACAGCTGAAGAATGGGAGACAATTAATGGTGAACTGATGGTACAGTATAACTCTTAATTTATAATGGTCAGTAATACAATCTCACTGATGTATCAATCCTCCTCTTTTTGTGCATAAGTAGAATGCAATTGTTTGATTAAATGAGGAAGTGATCAAAAGATTATGGTGGGGGTTTTATTATTTTCTTGAGTTGGTGTTATTGAATCTTTACTCTCATTTTTAGCTCTACAGATTTTTTTGGTGGATTTGTTTTTATTCGAAAAAGCACAATTTCTTTTTGTCTTAATTGCTTTTCCCCATTAAGAGCACTGTGTTATAAGGATAATTATTAGTGTCATTGTACACTATGAAGTATATCTGCTTTACTGCCTTAACGTACAGATATTTATTTTTTCTCAGAGCTGGGTGACAGAAATGAATGAAGATGATAAGAAACCACAATTCCTGAGAACAGATCCACTATATGAAAGACAAGATAATTTGCCTCCTATTCGTTGTTCCAGTTGTTTTCCTGCTAATCAGGTATCTCTAGTTTTCTAATGTGTGTTAATCATATGCCTTTCTAAAATCTGGAAATGTTATCTCTATAGACTTCCAGGCATTGAGCCTTTCTTACTAGTTTTATTTTGTTAACCAGGAAATATAAACCTTTTAAGCTCCTCTACAAAAGACTAATGTGCCTCCTTAGTACTAGCAGGTGTCTTGTAATAATGTTTTAATTCTGATGAAGCAATCACTCTGGAGCAAATCTTCTTAAATACCCTTTTATGTTCTTTGATTCACATTTCAAAGTGGTGTTAAGCATATGAACTAGGTTACTTTCGGAGAACATTTTCTCCAGCTGCCAGTAGGCTTTTGTTCCATGAGACCAGACTGGAGCTAGTCCAAAATAAACACCCTTTTTATTTTGAAGTTTGGAAGTGAGAAGTTTTATAAAAGGATCCTTACAGGTCATGTGATATTTTTTATTAATTGATAATTTGAAAACATTTATTGGAATAATTGTTTATTATTATAACTTTTGTTTTCCATACAAGGTTGAGGTGTTAGCATTATTACCCAGAAAACCTAGATACAGCTTTATGCCTTACCAGTGGTGTATGATTTCCATTCCTTTTGTCCAAGCAGATGGCTTCTGAAGTAAGTGTAACCTGTCCTGGAAGAGTTTTAGAATTCAGTCTTTTAATATAGCAGTGCGGTTATACCCCTACTAGATCAGTACTGAATAAAAAGAAGCTGTTTCTATAGTATGCACTAAATTTATACCTGTAAATATAGATTTTTTCTTTTTTTCTTGCTGGTAAAGCTGTGTTTAATTTTACAAATTCTAAACAGTTTTTTGCTAGTCATTTCACACTGTAATTATTATTTACACTGGCATCACATAATTTTGCAATGTGGTATCAAGTACAAAGTTGGGATGATAAATTTCTACTTTCTGCTAGAAGGAAATCCGCAAACCCTTCTATAATTTTATGTTGTTATTTGACTGGAGACTGTTCATCTGATCTGATGCATAAAAAGTTCAGTATCTTCAATGAAGCTAATTCTGGAAAACCTTACTGACCCTAAAACAGTGGATTGTACCAATGGGTACAAGTTTGGTAAATGAAAGCATCTTGTGTCTGTAACCAGATTTTCTTGCTGATGTAGGTACAGTTTCAATTCACTACTAATAGCTTATAACTCTAGATGGTGGTCTCTTTTTATTGATGTGGTGTCATGGGGAAGATTCTCCAAAAAAAAGAAAAGAGTGAACTTTATGCCATATTCCCTCTTTAACACAGTATGGAAGCTTATGCCCAGAACTGTGAGGTTATAAGTATACCCCAAAAGAAGAGAGGACTGGAGAGACAGCTTGAGTTTTTCTGTTCTTTGCGGTCCACATTGCTTAACTGTTATTTTTGCTGCTTCACTTTTTCCAGGACAGAACTAAAGCATTAGTTTAAAGATATGTACTTCCCAATGACTACTGATGGGATTTCAGCAGACTTGGGTTCCTTTGCCAAACACAGTTCTTAATACTATTTCAGAAAGATTTCTGTCTTCAGATACCTCCTCACACTAAAGTCCAAGTTTTGTGTTACAGAAATCCACTGTGATAGTATCTGTAGTGCCTTCATATATTTTGGATCTTCTGAATTAAAAAGGAATACCGGTTAGCTGACACCGAACAGTAATGTCTTACGCCATAACAGAAAGCCCAGAAGAGAACCAAGGCCTAATTCTGTGTCATCTGAGCTGAAGCCAGTCCATGTTTTGATATTTGGTCTAGAAATTGTTTACTGTGCTTCAAAACCTGTAGGATCAATGCATTGTGAGTTGCGGCAAAAAGAGGACAAGGGCAGAGATTTTTCTGTTTCAGTTCCTTAGCATGCAAATGAACATTTTTCATCAAAGCCTCTTGGATGGGATGCTCTGAAGTATTACTCATTGAGAAATTCCTTACTCTCCTGGAGCTACAACGTGGTTACAGAAGTCCCAGGAATGAGACCTAGAACTTTAAAAATTGTGCATTTTGAGTAAACTCTTCTGCCTTACTCCTTAAAAGGACATAGAATCAGACAATCATAGAATGGTTTGGTTGGAAGGGACCTTGAGATGACCTTGAAGGTGTCACAGGCAGGGACACCTTCCACTAGACAAGGTTGCTCCAAGCCCCATCCAGCTTGGCCTTGAACGCTACTAGGGATGGAGCATTCACATGCTGTAGTTTTCTCCCTAAATTAAAGTTGCATTAGTAAATACCTTAAATGAGTTTTCTTCAGAAAGTTTCACTATTTTTGTGTTCCTTTAAGATGAGGACTTCTTGTTTGAAAAAAAAGATTTAACGTTTATTAAATTCCTAAGTTTGTAATATAAGCCAGGATGTAGAATGATAACTCATGTTTCAGGAAGCCATATTTAGGAGTTACCGCCTCCAAACATGCGTTTAGACAAAATGTGTTTCTCATTTTGTCTAGCTTGTCATAGAATGGTTTGGGTTGGAAAGGATATTAAGATCATATAGTTCGAACCTCCTTGCAGGGAAGCCTCACACTAGACATGTTGCCCAAGGCTCTGTCCAGCCTGGCCTGGAAGCTTCTATAAAGACTCAGAGCATTAAGAGTAGTTCTGAAGTTGCATACTGTAAAAGTTTGTGTAACCTAACTTTATAGTTAGAAGTGTTTACAGGAAGGGCCATATTTGCATTATGTAAATTGTGGTGTTTACTTCAACTGCAGAGGTATTTCCTAGTTACAGTGTCACCACTGGTAAAGCTAGTTTAAGAGGTTGCTGCTTGTTTCTTTGGTCCAGTTTATCATGTGCTCAGTTGAACTGGTACAGATATTTAGGGATTGTGATGCAATTTCTATCAAATTGTATATTTGAACCCAGAAATTTGTAAATCTGCAACTCTACAAACAATTGCAGTGCAGCTCAGTGAATGTTGGATTGCAAGGTAAGAGGAGGGCTGAATGGCCAGGACAGAGTAATATTTTGAACTGAATGTTCTACCTGTTTGGAACCACACCTTGCTATTAAGTGTTGTTGAAGTCAACAAGAAGGGAGGGACATAGCAGAAATACAGTCTCAGGACAGAGGTAGAAGGATTGACAAAGGTGCCAGCTATGGAAATAGGTGCCATTAGTGTAGGAGATGGGTTGTGATACAAGCTAGTTGAATCTGTTATTGGGACTGATTGTTGCAGGAAGGTCCTAAGGATAAATTTTAGGTAAGGCAAACCTCAATGATGGAGCTTATTTAAAAGCTAGAATGAGTGTAAATTATCTTGGGAATTTGCTTGAATGGAGTGTGAAATAGTCAAAAGAAGTCCAGACACTATTTTGAAGTCAAAACATTGTAAATTTGTTGTGAGGGTTCCAGGGACAATATTAATCTGTGCATTGCGTTATCTTGGGAATGGTGAGCCTAAAACAAGGTTACTGTTTCAATCTTTCTGCCAAACACCTCATCACAAGGCTGTGTCTTCCCAACACTGAGTTTTCCCTTGCTGTATTGAAAGGATGGTTTGCAAGGTGGCAGCACAAGATGCTAATTAAGAAGAGAAGTCTCCTATCTGAAATTTTTATCCTATTCCTCTGTGACATATAACCGGCCAGTGAAGATAAAGTGTGAGGCTGAGGAGTTCCTCAGATTACTAGGATGTGTAAAATACATAAAGATTTTCTTTAAAGCAAGACAAAGTTTTGAAGACTATGCTGAGAAGAGTCATGAATAGTGTTAGTTACTAGGAATATGTATTGCAGAAACAAAGCAAAAGGCTGTGAATTTCCGCTTCAAAAGCTTGTTTTTACAGGCTGGCTGTTTCTCTTTCAGAACAAAAATTTACAAAACAAAGACAGAAACAAGAAAAACATACCACGGGATTACAGTGAATGGGAAAAGTATGTTAAATCCTTTACATATATATATTTAATCTTATTTATTTGTTAAATGGAATATTGGTTGTTGGGATAAGGGAGAGAGGAAGTAATGTAAAGCAGGACAAGTGCACACACATGCAAAAGAAGCCAACACAAGGAAAAGAGATAAGATTAAACATCTTTTTCCTAAATAGTCATGGATAACTGAACACAGCCTTAAGATCTCTTTTCCTTTGGTTTATAATAGAAATATAGTAAGCCTTTCTATTAGTAGAGGAGTCTTGCTATGCAGCATTATTAAATCTGCAATTTTATTAATTTAAGGTTTGATGTGGAAAAGGAGTGTTCAAAAATTGATGAAAGCTGCGAAGAAAATAACTCAAAAGCAAGATTCTTTAGCAGGCCAAATCTACCTGTCATCAAAAAGAAAATAGACACAACTGGTAATGTCTTAGAAACATACAAATTTTCTTTAATTGTAATACTCTGTTGTAGAGTGTGAATACAAATCAAAGAAGCATATTATAGAGTTGAAGGTTTCTATCTGTTTATCAGCCCCTAGAGATGTGAAATGTTGTTAGGAGGTCAACTGAACTTCAAGCCAAATTTGAAATAAAATCTAGTCTTGGTGTTAATAATCAGTTAGATATTTATGTTGTGTTTAGGTTGAAAGTGCTAGGTAAAGAAGTAGAGCATGCATTTGTTACAAACCAGTGGTAGAGGTTAGCTGAGTGCTTTCATCTTCCACTCTGAATGCTCATTGGAAGAATTATTTTCAGAACAATTTAGAATAATTTTTATTCTAGAAAATACAATACAAATTTATCTTTTAGTAAGTCATGTTCTTTTAAAAAATAATAAATATTATGGTGTTCAGAATATTTTAGCTGATAGTGTTTTGATTGCATCTGTGCCAGTTATTAGTTGTTTTTATGTATAAATATTTATTTTTCTAGGCATGACAAAGAAAGAGAAGATTTTTATTGCTACTCGTGAAAAAGAAAAGGGCAATGAAGCCTTTGCCAGTGGTGATTATGTGGAAGCAGTGACATATTATACTCGGTGAGTAAATACTGATTTGTTCTTTCATTTTAATGGCTATTACTTGTGAATATTATTTTTAGAGCAGTGTAATTAAAGCAGCTTCTTACTGAAACAAATAGTGACAAATCGATTATTTTTTAAAAGGGCAAAAAGGTTTGACAGAAGAATCCTTAAAGCATTGTTGCATCCTGATAGTAATTTTTATTTATCAGGAAGAGAAATGGTTAAATAGTGATGGAATGTAATTCGCAGGTATCACAAACTTCTTCAGATTTTTCAAACCCTGTGAGAGTCAAAGGCAAGTTTACAAAAATAAAAGGATAAGCAGTGTGCTGAAAAACTAAATTCATTACAAATTAATTGTAATAAACCGCATTGGTAGGATTGCCTCAATTGGTAATAAGTAAAATTGATTTAATAAGCTCTTCTTAGGAGAAAGAAAAATCACTGTGTACAGCATCACCATAATACAGTCTGTAATTAGCAGCAGTCCAGAAAAAGAGTATATAAACAGAGGATTAAAAAAAATAAGACTCTTTCAGGTTACCTTATTTAGTGCTCAGTGGACTACATTCAGACTTTGGCTTTATATTAATGGAGATTGTTGCTACAAGATCTCTGTTGTATTTGTTTCAAAAGAAGAAGAGCTTAGGATGGACAGAATAGACAACAGGAAGAGAAGGATGCGATGGGGCAGCCACAGCTTCTCTGAGCAGCCTTTGCCAGTGCCTGACCACCCTTACAGTGAAGAAAGTTTTCCTTATATCTCTTGCAGTATGCTGTCGCCCTGACACTTCCCTGTTGTCCCCTCTTCACAGTGAACAGAGTCCTTCTTGCTAGGTTAGCAAGGGTGTGGGCAAAGATTCTCTTGTACTATGTCATATGCATCCCAGTTGTCCTTGTTCATCAGAGATGATGCTGTTGTTACAGAAACTAAAGCCCTACCTGCAATACCAGCCACATAGCCAAACCTGGAAAATTCATCCACTGACACCTGAGTCTTTCCCTTTTACAAGCATAATCAAGGAGAAGCTCGTGTGCCCTCCCATTGTAACTTCCAAAGCTCTGTAGTTACTCTTGATACTCTCAAGGGTTTCATTTGACAGTTTTATTCAAGACTAGATGGATGGTAGCAAGAGGTAACTGGATGGATGAGCCATAGCATCTTTCTGCAGCTTCTCAGACCTAAGCCCTGGCAAGCAACAGACCTTTGAAGATGGTAAATCTAGTTGGTGGATGGTTGCCTCTGGTCTAACAGGAGGGAGTTCAGAGTATCACTACTAATATTGTTATAATACTGTTTTCAGCTTCTAATAGTGAAGTATTTATACATTCGGGCTTTCTAGCTATGAGCCTACCATGGTCAATATTCCCTTCTTTCAGAAGTATATCAGTAATACCCACTGCAGCTGCATATAACAACAAAGCTCAAGCAGAAATCAAACTTCAGGACTGGAACAGTGCTTTGCAGGATTGTGAGAAGGTACTAGATATGGAACCTGGCAACTTAAAAGGTAAAGGAGAACATAAACTTGCTCTTCTATGTATTACTTTATTTCTAGCAAATAAAATAGTACTTACCTATTCATGTTGTCCATTGACTTAACGGAGCTTTAGATCAGGTCCAAGTATGAATAAGGAAACAGACAAGCTCCCTAAAGTAATTTTAATAGTATTTCTGAGGTCAGGGAAGTTTTATGCAGTTCATTCTGTTGATCTGTAATGGGTATTCTTATGTGGTAGCATGGGCCTAACTTGTTTTTCATATGATGACTTAAGCCCTCTTTTATTCATGCAATGCACTGTTTCCATAATACCCACACTGAAGTTTTAATTACTTTAAAAGCAGCATGAAAACAATGAAAGTTGCTGATTTAATCTTTTCTGAAGGGAAAGGCTATATTTGCATGGGTGGAGGAGAAGAGTTGGAAAAATGTAAAAAGATGCTTCACAGTTCATGAGTGGCATCTCAAAAGGCATTATGTGAAATGGCATCATTAAAAATGATCAAGAGAACAGATACACTAATAGTCATTATGAAGTAAATGCAGAATTTTAAAAACTGGTTTACCCTTGAAAAACTTTGTGCTTCAAATACATAAATAATACTCTTGTTCCTTTGTAGCTCTTATGCGTCGTGCTACTGTACACAGTCAGCTGCAGGATTACCAGGCAGCTATAGAGGACCTGAACAGAGTATTACGGGTTGAACCACAAAATGCTATAGCTAAGGTAAAGACCAATGAATTTACCATGACTAGCAACAGGTTGTATGCAGTTGTAGCATGAAGTGTGTAGAGCTTATATTGTTTGATTTGAATATGAGTTTTGAGGACATGCTCTGCTGTGACAGCAGTCAGTTTCTCAAGATCACATAGGTACCTGTGGTGGAAATAAGGTACTTGAATGTGACCAGACCTTCAGCCTACTGAAGTACCTTCACTACTTAATTGTGAGAACTTGTAGGCACTCAAGTCTTCTCTACCAGGGTAATTTAGGTGCCTGAATTTTTGCTGCTGAACATGATTAGTGTCTTAGCTGATCAAAGTTACTTGGACATTTGGCTCAAGAAGATCCACTGGGATAGGTATATTTAAACCTGACACATAATTCACATGAAAAATCTAAAGAGATGGTAAGCTTTTACTGTTAACCTAAAAGGAGATTACCTGAGTTCTGTCCTGAGTTCAGCATGATGTTATAAATCCTCATTTCTCACCTCCAGGCTAGAATGAAAAACCTTTCATACCTTCTGATGAACCTGGACCCTCCTTAGCCAATTTTGGATCCAAGAAAGCCAGAAGCTTTCTTTGGAAACTCAAAGTCAGGATGTGGTCCTTGTACAACTCTTACTTCAGCTATTTAGGAGAGGATTGTTTGTGTCCTTTCATTGGTAGCTTCTTAGGGGTGTTTTGTGGGTTAGAACCTAAGCCTTGCATCTGGGCTCTGTGTGTCCTGAGAATCTTCAGGACCAGGCAGTTCTGATACTAAATGGCTCTTTGCCAATTAGGAATCCATCAAACTGCTACGTTCCCTGGCTTTTTTTTTTTTTTTTTTTACACAAGACTTCAGGATGCTGTGCAATTGCCTCATCACCTGAATTCTATTCAGCTTCTTTTGGCACATTTTTACCTCCTATCAACCTTTGCTGCTTCTTTCCATGGACTTAATATGATCGCTGCTATTGCTTGCACCAGTGAGGGAGGTCCAAGCCTGTTATGTCAAATTCACCACATACAGCATTCATCGCTTTTAGTGTTCTTGGAACTGAATTCCTGTCCAGAGTCCTGTTCCAGAGTTTCACATAAACCAAGGAATCAACCTGCCTGATTTCCCCCTTCTTTCTTTTTAAACACCTGTCTCTAGATTTGAATTCTGAAAGGGCTTTGGGGATTTTTTTTTTCAGTCTGCAAGACTGAAGCACTAAATAGCTTGTGAGTCTGTGTTGACAAACTCCACAACAGTCTGTGAAAAGATTGTCAAATTGGCTGTACTGAGACTTGTTATAATATCAGGCATAAGGTACTCCTTCGTTTTGAGTACTCTTCCAGAGATGTAAATTCATCAGTAGCTTTGCTGAGTAATGCTTCTCTAGCTGAAAGCAGATGTCTGTACTTTGTTCTTATCTCTGCTTGCTATTGTGCCTTGGCTGAGACATTTAGAAGTGACAAGTGCTCGGCAGGGAATTTTGTCAGTTGCTCTTTGCTTGAAGGATCCTCAGAACTCTCTTCAGATAAATACGAATGTATTGAACACATGTAGAATTAATGTTTATGTGCAGATTCACTAATATAAAGGTAAATTGATCGTCACTAACTGGAATTCTTCAATATACTTTGTTCACATGAATCATTGCCTGTTCGTGTCCTTGTTTTATCTTTTCCTTGAGGAAGTGGGTACTGGAATGGCATTTCCTTTTACAGCATTTAATTAAATTCAGGATAGTGCATAATGTTGGGTCTCTGCTCTGGAAGTGTAAAGTGCAGTTGGAGTATTTTATCTTGAGTAATCAAAAATGCTTATGGAATGAGAAGCTGTTTGGTCATCTAATTTGCAGTTCTTACAAGAGGAGCAAACCTTTTCATTATTCAACAGTGTCCTTTTGCTAACTGCCAGAAACCATAGCATAAATTTTGATAAACTGATTTTAGGTTTTTTTTTGGAGATTCTGGAAATAATCCACTAGAAATAATCTGTTTTCTTACTCTTCCTAGTAGACCGTGCCAGATACTGCAATAATGCAGTTTGCTTTTTTTCTTTCTGGGTTTTGGTTGTTTGTGTTTGGATTTTTTTGTTTTGTTTGATTGTTTTTGTTTGGGTTTTTGTTTTTCTTCCTTAAACAGTTGATTCAAGAAAAGTATTTGTGTGGTATCTTTCGAGTTTCTAAGAGACAGAAGTTGAGTGTTAATCTTGGTTTTGATACTGACTCTTGGAAAAGTAATGTCATGGGTTTTTTCTGTGTTTTTTTTTATATTGCAGAAAAATCTGCTAGAGGTTGAAAAGAAACTGAAAGGTTTAAAGCCTGTATCTGAGACTCAAGGCAAAGGAAAAAGGATACTTATTCAAGATATAGAGGATTCAGAAGGTGATGAAGAAAGAGGTAAAAATACAGTTAAATGTGAAAGAAGCAGTGGAAATAAAAGTAATGTCAGGTCACTTTCTATTTACTTTCAATCTGAGAAAAAAAAATCTTTGTTATTGCTGTCTTTATTCACACAATTCATCCATATTTGCTTGCAAAGAATTTTGCCTGTTTGAAGACTAAAATTGCATTCACTACTTAAATTTGAGTGAAATCTAGAATCAAATTTTATTACACATCTTTGGAATTATTTCTAGAAGGGGTATAACGGATGGATGGAAAATACTGCTATAAATCACTTACTTCCCTGAGTCCTGTGTAATTTTATACCTATCTTTTGGTGTGGACCCAGTTTGGAATGTTCTCAGGTATTAGAGAATATTGTGTGTTCCTTAGCTCTTTCTCTCACATAGGTCTCCTGCCTTCCCATCATTGCATTTTAATTCTGCATGTTTCTTCCCATAACTGGATCAGAGGGTGTAAAAATAACCAAGTGGCATATAACTTGGTTATTTTGCTGCTGTTTGTTTTGAAATCTATCAGAAATCTATCAATCTTTGTTTGTTTGTTTAACCTAAGAGATCATCTGGTCTGAAAGTATGTATTAGAGGTGAACAATTTGTAATTCTTGTACTGTATATAGTTTCCAAGCAGCTGAATGCAGCTCCTGTTCCTGGATTAGTGTGTGAATAACTGCGAGAGTGCTACTGGTATAATCAGAATATATGACTTGTAGGAGGAAGGGAAGCAATAGGTGCTACTGAGGCTTGCACTGGCAGGTTGTTTTTAGATTCAGCTGCATGTCTGGGCTCCGGCCTTCGACAGAGTAACATCCTTAGGTTGATTCCCACCTTTCTCGTTTCTGTTGGTTCTTTAAGGTAATGTGGCTTGACAACTGTGACTTTTGTGTTTTCTGTTGTCGATGTAGTTCTTTATCTTGAAATGAAATCAGTGTGTGGGTTTTACAGGTTAATTGTAAATATTAAACTGTGCATGTGTGAGTTAATAATACCTTATTCGCAAAGAAATTTAAGGAAAATATGTATTTCAGAATCAGTAGGTATCTACTAAGTCACCTCAGCTAAAACCCTGGAAGAAAGGATGGATCATGTCCTTAGTCTTAAATACTAAGTTAATTTGGGGCTGCTTTCATTGGGAGCATTCAGATGACTAAGTGCCTTCTAGCTTCATAGGAAGACTCCCATCTGTTGATGAAAGGTTAGGCTTTTAAACAGGGGATTGTCAACTGATGTAAATGTCGCATGTGTTCATGCAAGTATTTCTGAGATTTAGGAGACAAGCACCTTCATAGATTACTCTGTTTTCAAGTACAACTAGAAGCAAATACAAACTCAGTTCAGTTATTGAATAAATCTGGTAAGTTCCATGAACTTAACAGCAATAAATAGACTAAATGTCTTACCTGTCTTTTCTATACATCTAGTCATGTAGTCACAGTCAGTCCAGCAGTCCATGTAGTCCAGTCATGTAGTCACACTGATTTCACATTCTAGTTGATAAGCTTTGTGCATTCCTACTAGACTTATAGCATAGAGATTGGAAGAAAAACAACAAAATATTTGTTTTCTTCAGCTCTGAAGAGTTGATATCTCAGACAAAACAGTATATGTAAAGAGTGTAGTCTCTCTTCATCTTCTGTGTAACTGAGAGAAAAAGTAAATCCTTTTTGTACAATAGAAATGGAAAATTGCTTATGTCTTAAGACTGTAAAAACCAGCATTCAGACAATGTAAAAACTAAAGGTCATGTATGTATTTGACAAAGCGCCTGATATTTTGACATGTTTATAGAAGTCATGCAATGATAAATATGGTTTAAAGATAAATGTATTTTAAGTAGCCCTTTTAATTCATAAAAAATTGTTGACCATATACAGAAAAAATAAAAGGAAAAGAAAAAGAAAATTATTATTAAAATTTAATCTGTGGAGATTGGACCATTCCAGTTGCCTTCATATATAGCTAGTCCAGTGTGGATAAAAGACTTGGAAATGTTTCCTGGTTTCATAATAAATGAATTAACTGTGAACTGAACTTAGATACTTTTCATTCTGCCACCATTATTTTTGTGCCATGCTTCTGGAGAATAAAAACTTTGTATAGCTGGAAACTAATTTCAAATGAAAGACAATGTCATCCATTAAAAACCCCCAAACAAATATTCCTTTTAGAGTATTCAGTAGCTTTTGTTTAATGACATTCCTTCCAATTTAATTTTTCTATTTTAATGGTAACATGAATTAAAATTCTTGCTAGTTTGTATTTGCTGTCATTCTAGTCAAAATCCTGCCCACACTTTTACACTTTCTTACTTTACTTTTCAGTAACTTTGCTTTGGAATTTATAATCTATCCAGAGGTTTCTTTTTTGGGTTGTTTTTTTTTTTTTTTTAGAAAAATTTGTAAGTGCTGATTTTTATTTTTTTTTTAGGACAAGCCCAGAATACTGCTTTCATTAATATATTTCTCTGCAGAGACCAGTACGAGAATAGCGGTTATGTTATTAAGACTGGAAGTGAAAAACAGTGAGAATGAGATTTGAGAAATATATATCTGAGCAATTTTGTGCATGGTGTTCACTCAGTTCAGAAATACTTAGGCAGTTAGCATAACCTGACAGCTAAACCAGTTGACTATAACTACTTGTATTATCAGGGGGGCTCCAAAGGCTATAAAAGTCTCCTGTCCATCCAGGATCAGTTCTGTGCACTTTGTCTTCAGGAAATTTTCTGCTGTGTTCAGAAAGTGGTGTTCATATTAATGACATTCACGTCATTATCTGTCATTATTCACACATTATCGGCTTTTCTTGCTCTTTCTGTGGCTCAGAAAGTTGGGCTGTGCTTCTAGAGTGTTTCACTGTGTTTTCTAAAATCTTGGCAAATTGCCTGTTTGTCTGTGACATTTAGAATGTTGGGATTTTTTTCCTTTATTTTGCTAGAAGGTGTAGAGAGTATTGTCTGTTTTGGTGGATGTAAAGCAAAAAGTATTGGAACTGTTGGAACAAGTCCAGAGGAGGGCCACGAGGATGATCAGGGGACTGGAGCACCTCCCATATGAAGATAGGCTGAGAAAGTTGGGGCTGTTTAGCCTGGAGAAGGCTGCGTGGAGACCTCATAGCAGCCTTCCAGTATCTGAAAGGGGGCATATAGGGATGCTGGGGAGGGACTATTCATTAGGGACTGTAGTGATAGGACAAGGGGTAACAGGTTAAAACTTAAACAGGGGAAGTTTAGATTGGATATAAGGAGGAAATTCTTTTCTGTGAGGGTGGTGAGGCACTGGAATGGGTTGCCCAGGGAGGTTGTGAATGCTCCATCCCTGGCAGTGTTCAAGGCCAGGTTGGATGAGGCCTTGGGTGATATGGTTTAGAGCGAGGTGTCCCTGCCCATGGCAGGGATGTTGGAACTTGATGATCTTAAGGTCCTTTCCAAACCTAACTATTCTATGATTCTATGATTCTATGTATCCTAAGGAAGTTGCTGTGATACTGTCACTGGCTTCGCTCATCGGCCTAGCTAGCATTATTTCCCCTCATCCTCTCAACCAAATAGACTTTAAAACTTCTTGGCATATTTGGCACTGACAAACTGCAAGGATGGATGTACGTCTCAAATAGAAATGATTTACTTTTAGTTTTATAAAAGAGTCTGTGTGAGTAGAATAGATGTATCCTATCATTGTTTCCACTGTGTAGTATGAACTTATTCTTAAACATGCTATTTCAAGACAGAGACCAGAGCTAGGAAGGACAGTTGGACCTTTTGTCTGTTAGGCACAAGAGAATCAATTGTTTTTAAACCTCTTATGCTTTGCCGTTCTTTTCAGTTGGATTTCAGTAGCATTTTGTGCATTAAAAACTAATAATTCTGTAATTTGGAGCAATCTGGAGTTAATCCATATTAAATCAACTTCATCAATTTAGATTGAATTACTGGAAGTGTCACTGCAATAAATGAAGGCCTGAAAAAATGCTGTTGGACAGATGAACACATCAAGTTAAGGGAAGGTGAAATCCCAGCACCCCAGAATACCAAACAGAGTTGCCTTTGTGTGACTGGTACTATCAACAGTCAGGCGTTCTGCAGAAATCTGTATTTGAATACTGTGGTGGCAATCTGGTAGGAATTCAGGTGAAGAAGGAATATATATGTTAATATCTGATACTCTTATTGTATGATTTTTCTGAATTAAACTAGTAATAAAGAATAGTGGAAGTTGAATCATCAGGATTATTTGTCAAAGGCTTTTTGACATTATGCTTAAATGAAACCTCTTCGAGAATGATTTATAGGCTTTTATGCCTCCTGTGTTGTATTTGAGAGTTTAGAAGTGTGCAACATTACTGGTTTCTTAGCAGTGTGTTTTAATTTTAACGTGCAAGCATTTTGATTTGGTCACGGAAAACCAAAGTACTAATATTGCAATAGCCAGTATGTAAAGAGTTAATTTCAAGGTGAACTCTGTACCATTCTGACACTACAGAACAGGGGTTCATAGTGTGCCCGGTGAGGGGAAATTACATTTCGTAGTAATACCTTCTCAGTAATAATTGCAAGTTAGTTGTAAGTAGGAAATTTATCTGTGTTCTTGAAAGTGTTTTCTAAGGCAAATAAATCTTTGTAACACTGGGATGCCTGAAGGATTTGGTCTTTAGCTGTGCACCCCTCTTTTGCCAGGACGATAGTTTCTCCTGATGATGCAAGCTCTAACTCAGCTCATTAACTTCCTTGTAGGAATTGGCGTGCCAGTCGGAGGAGAGGCGGCTGCGGGAGAGGTTGCAATGGGCAACGCGCAGAGGAAGTTTCATAGCAAAGGAGGGGGCAGTAAGGCAGAGGACAGGGGGACACAGAAGCAGAAGGAATCCACTGAGAGCAGATTAAAAAAAGGCACATCAGAAAAAAGTACACAGAGGCAGTTGTCAGACTGTGAAGGTGAAGTTAATGGCTGTTTACACAGTGATCAAAAAAGTGAAAGCCCTGAAGCTGAGGAGGTCTCCGGATCGCTTGAAGCAGGTTCTCAGTCAGCTGGTGGTGGCAATTCGGTTTCACTTCCTCCTGCTGCAGCAAAACTAAAAAGTGAAGGAAACGAGTTATTTAAGAGTGGGCAGTTTGGAGAAGCTGTGTTCAAATACTCGGAAGCAATTGAGTTTGTCACTGGTCTAGGTGAGTGTAATACCTTATACTTAAGTCTAGGATTGTTGTCTAGATTATTTAAAGGAAATACAAATGAACTAACCTAGCCTATCCCTGTTTATTTTTCAAGAGTTACTGTGCAGTAAATTCTTTGTGGTTTCAGTGAAGGACAGTTTACATGGCACAAAATAGAAGATTATGACTGAAACAATACTTTTAACTTCCTAGGGCAGAGCTGTTTGTATTTATTTATGTGTTTAAATAATTACATATTCTAAGTGACGTGATAAGGGAAAGCTTCTTGCAGCTTTGCATTGTCAGCAAACTGCATCACTGCAGTGTCACAGTATGTGAGTCTTTAATTTTTGAATGTCATTTTAGTAACCATCTTTAATTGTAACTTCTTTTAGGAGAGCAAAGTCCAGATGATTTAAGTATCTTGTACTCAAACAGAGCAGCATGTTACCTCAAAGAAGGGAACTGCAGTGACTGCATTCAGGATTGTAACAGGTAAATTGCAACCTCCCATGTAGGGCAACAGCATTCCTGATGATGAGTAAACATTTTAACTGATACATTGTTATTGCAGTTTGACTTCGAACAGTCAGTAAAGACTGATTCTAAATCTGATCTCTTTAAATAAGAGAGATCTTTGTCAGTTATGTAAACAATCACATGGAACCTAGGGACAGAGTAGCTTTTAACTTACTGTCTTACATGAGTGCAGTTGTTTGTTAGGCTTCTTGTGTATGCAGAAATGCACATCAGGATTAAAACTTCTAAGACACATGCAGGTTTATTTAAGTGATGCTCTGTAATAACTTAGGTGCAGAAGCTTTGTTAAGCCAGATGGTTATCACAGTGTTGGAGATTGCTTACAAGCATGTGCATGGTGTTTTCTGTGTTTGGTTTGTTGTTTTGGTTTGGGTTTTTATTTAATACATACTTGTCATAGTTATAAACAGTAATTACAGCTGTTCAGGAATTGAGCTAAAATCCTTTCTGCTTGTTGTGGCTTTTAAGGATACCAGAGTTAGAGAAGATTAGACGCCTTCAACAACTTTGAAACACTGCCTTCCACTAAATTACTTGTATATTTCTAGAAGTCTTTTTTTATATTTTCATAGTTAGGCTTAGTAAGACTGATGCTTAACGTGCAAAAAAGGATCCCAAGGCAGTTAGAAATCATACTAATTAATAATTTTTTTACAGCATAACCCAACTGTTGCAAATCCCTAAAAAATAAAAAAATAAAGTACTTTTGTATTAGTTAAATATTTGACTTACTGTATATATTCTGCCTGACAGAAGTTTTCAGAAAATGTAACCTGAAAAAAAAAAAAAAAAAAGAATGACTTGTTAATAATATTTTGTTAAAATAGATGAAGGACCAATCACAGCTGGCTGGTAAAACAAGGTGGCATACTTAACAGCCATCACATTTTTCTCTTCAAGAGGTTTGAAGTATGTAAGATTTCAATTGAAATCAGTAATAGGACAGGGGGTTTTGAATTCTTCCCAGTTGGAAGCTTATTTTCTTACTGCCTAATGATAGTGTCCTTAATGTCATGCATATTTTACAGTTACAGAAGGAGCCATGATGCTTAGTGAGCACAACAGAGGTAGAAGTAATTTAGACTGTGAAGCAGAACTGCAAAAATGCAAATACACAGGAACTGGGAAATGTCAATTAAACGTTCTGTAGGCAGCACAACACGAAGAATGATCTATGAATAGGTTACTTGATTTCAAAGTAAAAAGTGGTGTAGCGCTTATATTCATGGCATAAAAATAAGTACTGAACATTTATCTTTTACTAAGTTCTGGCTATTTAGGGCTTGGAAGTGTTTAAAACCCCCTCTGTTGGATCTCTCTTTTTCTCAAGACTCTTGATTTGTAGTGCCTTTGATTCTTACTACAGAGGTGAAACAGAGCTTCTATGCACTAATGTTAATTTATTTAGTACTGTAGTGTGGTTTAGTCCCTGGCTGTATAGTTGCATTCTGCTCTGGAACTGTACTTTCCCATTCCCACAGATGCTATTCTTCAGGCCGTGGCTTCCTCTGAACTTATTTATAGTTGGTTATTTTTTTTTTCTTAATTCTTGATGTTAGGAACCTGAAATCACATCGATACTCTTCTGAGTTACAGGATGTCAAGCTTTTTTGCAGAGGTTCATAGGGGCTGTTGTGTGCTGTTGTGTTTTTCAGATGCATCCAGCAATTCGCAAATTTGCAAATGCAATCCAACATAAAGAGAACTGGAACGTTGGTGATATTTATGAAATGGAAATTGGAAATGTTTCTTCTAGTAATCTGTTTCTCTAGCTTTAGGATAGTAATGGTGCAAAGCCAGTTCACAAAAAGGGCAGCCAGCAGCCTCCCTGGGTTTCATATGAAAAGGAGCACAGCCACTGGATTGAGGGAAGTGATCCCCTTGCACTCAGCACTTGTTAGACAATATCTAACTAAATTAGATGTTGTCTAACTGTGCTGGTTTTGAGCTTCCCCAGTACAAGAAAGACAGTGATCAACAGGAGTGAGTGAGTTCAGTGAAGTGTTACTGAGGTGGTTGTGAACTCTGGAGCACTTGGCTGGAGAGGAGAGTCTGAGGGAACTGGGTTTGTTCAGCTTAGAGAATGGTTTCTAGAGGTCCTAACAGCAGCCTGACAGTGCCTATGAGTAGGGTTACCTAGAGGATGGATCCTGACTCGCTCTGGCAGCGGAAAGGACAAGAGACAACAGGCAAAACCACAAGGTTCTGACTTTGTTTTAGGAGGGATCTTTTCCCCATGAACAGTGTGGGGCATAGCAGCAGGTTGCCCAGAGATGTGCAGAGATTCCTTTATAGGTTTTCAGGGCCTGACTGGATAAGGCCCTGAGAAACCTCGGCTGATCTCAGAGGTGACCCCACCTATAGCAGATGGTTGGACTAGGAGTCTCTCAGCCTGAATTACTTTATGATTCCATAAAATCTAATTGGCTAGATGCATCTTAATTTCATATTTCAAAATTTATATATCTTCCTCTATAGTAAGAATCATTGATTTATAGAAGGTAGTCTTTAATAAATAAGGCCTTTGTGGACTGCTTCTTCATACTGCTGTAAAAGCACATGGTATTTGAGAGGCGTTATGATTGCACACTGTCAGGAGTTGAGCTCAGTGTTGACTAGGCACACAATCAAAAGTGTAAACAAACAAAAGACAAGCAAAACCAAAACAAAGCAAAAAGAAATAGACAGGGGCATATTCATGTCTTATTAAATGTATTTTTTACATGCATACGTCCACGTAAGGAAGAAGGATGGAAAATCATGTATGCAAAAGCACCATATACTTGAAATCCCCATACATCTTGGCATTGAAAAGAAAGATAAGTTTTGACTTAAGAAAGATAGCTTTTGCTCTTGAACAGCTACCATTACATTAATCTTTTCTCGCTGCTAAAAGCAGTTTTCCAGATGGAAGATGGGAATTTGAGTAGAGTAAGTTGTAGTAAAAGCACTAACAATTTCAGAACTGTGTGTCATTTGGAGTATTAATATAAACCACTTAGTGCCATTTTCCTTGCTTGTGTTACTGTAAGGCCCATCTGAAATAGCAAAGTTGTTGTGTATATCATAAAAGAATATTACTAATATTATTTCAGTTGCTCGGTTTCAATCCTGCATTTTTCTTCTTTTCCTCCAGAGCTCTGGAGCTTCAGCCGTTTTCCCTTAAGCCTCTTCTACGACGAGCAATGGCAAACGAGTGTATGGAGCGATATCGACAGGCATACATTGATTATAAAACAGTCCTACAAATAGACAGCAGCATCCAAGCAGCAAATGATAGTGCTACTAGGTAACTTCACTTACAAATCACGTATCAGTCCAAACAGAAAAGTAGAATTCAGTACTGTTTGTTTTACACGCACCCTCAGTTCTGTATCCTTCAAAGTCAGGATCCTCACAAATCGTGTCTTATAACTAGAGGACTGGCTGTCTCATTTGTTTTCCTGTAGCTTCACAGTTTTCCTCTGCCAGCAGTAGGTCGCTTTCTGTTTTAAAAACGTATTTTAAAGTTCTTTTTTCTGGCACTTCAACATGTTTTCTTTCTTTTATTTGATACCACATAAAGTAGTTCTTTAAGGTCCATATTTTTTATCTGACATTTCTGTTTCCTTTTCATATGAGCAGTCTTCCTGTGGCAGCTGGAGATTCATGTTAAGTGTATCCTTCAGCATGCTGCAGTTATGGAAACACTGAGGGAGGTTGATACAGTGTTTGGCTGCAAAACTTAAAGGTGTAAAAAATAGGACTGAATATTATCTTAAACTGAAAGGTTAATACTTCCAACATGAATTCTTGCTGCCAACAGAGACTTCTCAATTTCTATAATTATAATAGTGTAAAATCAGTGTATACACACTGTAGTAGCTGTCTTATTAACCCATAGTAAGTATTTAAGTGCATGAATGATAGGTTTTTCCAATCCCTTTTCTTTCCTTTTTTCTTTAATGGGCAAAAAAAAAAGTATTTATGAAAGTATAACAGCCGTTAATTGTTGAGCAGGAACCCACATGCATGCAATTCTTAACAATGGAATCTGGTACCTTTTTAAGACAAAGTCATGAGCGCTTACATTACGGCTTCATTAAAAAGTCCATAATATCTTTAAATTCTGCTTATTTGACCAGAGGTGGACATGATGACACTTCATCATCTCCTCTTAGAAATCTTATTTTTGATAGCAACAAATTGTTACTGATCTCCTATATCTGCCCCAGTAATGGAGCACTTGGATTGGTGGGAAGCATAACTGCTTGTCCTGATATCTGTGTGATTATTATACTTTTTTTTTTTTTTAATCTTCTTGGCTTATTTTATCTCCAGATACTCTTTTCATACTTCTCCTTGACTTGTAACTTGCTTAGTAATAAGCTTATTTCCCTTTATTTCTCCTAACACTCTTCCTTTTCTCCTCTATAGGCCTTCCTTATATTTTTAGCTTCACTGCTCATTACTCTTTCCTCCCTGGCAACCCATCACCTTATTTCAGCTGCTTCTTCCTTCTCTTCTGCTGGTAATTAATTTTTGCTTGCAAATACTTAGTTTCTAAAGCATAGACCTCCCGCATAAGTGAACTTTTGCTATAATTATTTTTTAATATTTATGAATTAAGCTGAAATTGTTTCCCAAAGTATTATTTCCAAAGTAACAGACCTTTTTTAAAAATAAATGTTAACAAAAAATGCTGTTTCCTCTACTGCCTGTTAACTTAAAGGGACAACCCCAAAACATAGTTTAATTTATTTTCTTTTTCATTATTTTAGGAGTGTCAGGTCTTAACAACCTGTTTTTATTGGAGAATTTCTTTGTTTTTAATATCCTGTGGGAAATTGGGTGGTGAAGCCGAAGGAGAGGAAAAACTCATCATCCTACTTGTGTCTGAGGGTGGGCTTGATAAATCATGTTAAGGCTTGTCTTTCTGTACTTACCTAACTAAGCAGGCTTTCCAGAAATCTCAGAATGGAATGAGTATTCAGTCTGATAGTTTTAATAATTCTCACATAAAAGACAAATAGAATTTTTAATATAAAGGCTTTACCTGGTTATTTTGCAGTCAGAAGGAAATAATGAAGAGTGATTGATCATCAAAAACTGTAGGATTCTTTCTGCTGATCTGATTCTAGATCAGGTTTTTTCTCAAACTTTTTAAGCCCATTATAATAAATAGAGAAAAATTAAACAGGAAGCCAATGGCAGTGTGGTTTACTGTAGAACTCTTGGTTTACTTTGTGGGACTTCCTAAAAGACCAAAACTAAGCAAGAAGATTGGATTGGGTCCCTTATACTCATTCTAGTTCATTCTTCATGTCACATTCTAGGTTAGTTCTTTTTTCGGGGGATGTGTATTCATATAGTGTTTTTTATACCTGTGTTAGATGGAAGTACACCTAATACACAAATTTCAGGTTTATTTGCTGTGTTGTCATGTGACTTGCCTTGCTACTCAATTCAGAATTTTTCTTTGTTAGATATTAGACTTCTCCCCAGTTGAACTTGACTCTTAAGTTCACTTTGAGATCAGAAGATGATTACCCCACTATTATTCTCATAGTTGATTAATATGCTTGGGGTTTTCTCTTGGCTTGGTTTTCTTTTTTTTAACACCACAGAAGTTGTAATGGAACCATGAAATTTTATATGGCTTTAGTCATTATATTGACTTAGGACTTTCTCCAAAATGTATCACAGCAGTGGGTAACTCCCACTTGAATGGATTTTGAATGGAACCTCTCATGTACAGAAATAGTTGACCTATATATACATGTACATATAGTACATATATAGAAAATAATATATATATTATGTAATATATATGTTATATGTAATGCATACTATATAATGGCTAATACATAATATATAAATGTGTGTTGTAAATAGTTTTTATATATTTTATTATTTCCCATTTTTAAATGGGGATAAACAATGATTGATTGATAAATTTCTGACTGTTATTTAAAATGCAGCTTAATACCTACTTTGTGACCTGCACTGGTTATTTAGAAACCTGCTGTGTAAGAGATTTCATCTGACATTGGCAAATTTAGGTATCACACTTTGAGGGTATTGTAATCTACACTTGTTACAAATAACTTCTGAACAGGTGAGAGAAGTAAACAAAATAAGTTTATTTATTTATTTATAGCATGTGGTAGGCAGCATTTCAAGCTTAATTGCAAAATCACTTGCTTAAATATTCACAGATCCTGCTGAACTCATCTTCTTATCTCCTAAATGCTAACATAAATACTCTAAAATCAGAAAAAGTATAAATCTTAAACATATGCAGCACCACTGACTGCTGTGACAGTCTTTTAAAAACTTATGCTTCAGGATAACTGCTTGGTTGTTTTTTTGAAAATTAGAACATTGCATTATTTAATTTGGGTGTAAGTCATTGAAGTGTGAGTTAAATATGTGAAAAGTCATGTTGGTGGGACTTTTCTCTTTCAGAATAACAAAGGCATTAATAGATCAGGATGGTCCCAGTTGGAGGGAGAAACTGCCACCAATTCCAGTTGTCCCAGTTGCTGCTCAGCTACACAGATGGGATGGAGGAAACTTTACTTCAGAAAATATGCCAAGATGTCCTACAGAGAGCAAAAGAGAAGAGTTGTCGATGAATCGTACGTATAGCAAATGCATATATATATATTTATACAAAAAAGGAAAATGGCTTCTTGGCCTTTTGGGTAAAATCAAGTGTATCTGTTCTTACCAATTTAATATCTGATATGATGTGAGGACTTCACATTAAATGACGTTTTGGCACTAGGAGTTGGAGCTGGAGCTTGCTCGTTTTTTTTGGACTTGATGACCTTAAAGATCTTTTCCAACCTAGTTGCTTCTAAGAAAGATCCTAATTGTAAAATGGAGTAAGATTTAATAATGTCAAAGAAACTGCTTTAGAAAATATTTAACAGAGACCTTTGTGATAAACCAACTTAGGTGATTGTCATTTACATGATTTGGTTTCATGTGCTTCAGGGAGCCACAGGTATGATTTATTTTAATTTCTTTTAAAATTTTATTTTAATTTCTTTTTTTTAAGCTAAGTGATGTAGTTTTAAGTATGTAATTTCTGAAGTTACATAAAATACATCAGAAATACTTATCATCAGTATAGTGAGTCCCCTCAGAAGTATCAGTGGTTTCCCTGACATCATACTACAGTTATATACAGTTTTACCCCCCAAAACCACCACACAAACAATCACTCAGTAACATAATCAGCTTCATAATCTGTAGCTGTCATTTAATTCCTCATGAAAACATTACGCAGTTCTTCAGACTAGAAAGGGTAGACTTGTAGATGACAGTAGTTTGTGACATGGGCTATAGAAAAGCACTTCTGAGTATTACTTTTTTTTTTTACAATGGATTCTAGCTATGACAGTGGCCAGTAGTCACCTTTCAAAGATGTTAGTTCTAGATTTGTTTGCATATAAGCAGTGTGGGCTTAACTCCTTTAGGATATGTTCTTCCTTCTGACTTGTTCTTTTATTTATCGCAGTTTCCATTTTTCTCCTCCTGTAGATCAGGTGAAGGAACCTTCCTGATTCAGTTTTTATGACATGGAACATTATTTTTGCAAAGGCCTTAACTATGATTTTTTACTCAACTATTAATAGGTTCCCCTTTGAGTTTATTTAAATATAAAGAAAAATAGTGTTGAAGGTAATCTTCACCTTGATTAACGCAGGGGAGGCTGCAATGCATAACTACTGAGTTACTGGCTAAATAAGTAGCAGTGATTGGGTTATCTGCCCGTAACACATTACTGCAGTAATACATGTCCTCAAATAATCTGCGCTTTTGGGCACTACAAATTTAATTACTTTAAAAAGATCTTTCAGGTAATATTGAATTTATTTGTACCTGATGTAAAACAACAGGCAGCTTACAAATACATGTGTTCATGAAAACTGGATGTTTTTCTCGAGAATAAGATGTAGTTCTAGAAACTTGCAGTAATGTGGTTAAGAAATGATTTGAATAGGAGTGTGTACTAAGCTTCAGTAATGCTACAGAAAATTGGTTTTTTTTTAAAGAAACATGAGGCATGATGCTGTACAATTTAAGCTCAATTAAACTGATAAGAACTTTACTTTTTTTAAGATGTCCAGCGTCAAGTATTTTCATTACAGTTGCCACTACATGTTGTTATTGATTCATGGATCTTAAGGAGCAGGCAGCAATTGGGTTTAAAATTCGGGTTATTTTTATGAAATAGAAAACTGATACCTTGCACAGTTGCTATTAAACATAAATGCTTAGCTAGAAAAGTGCTCTTTGTTGTACTAATTGTACTCGAGGCTTTTTCTACTATTAAATAATATGACTTGTTGGATTTTTATTTCCGTGTATAACCAACTTTCTTAAACCTTTCAAGTAGTAGTAACTTTGGATCTGTATAACCTTGTGTAATTTTGTCAAGAGAGAATTTGAAGATGCTTGTAGTGAAAGATATACGGATGAGTGACTCCTGAGAACAGTGGTGATCATGTTTAGTCTGTTATGAAAGTTAACAAAACCGGCCATCACTGTGTTTATGAAGTGCGTCATTTTGATGCAGAACATGCCTCAGTCTGTTTTGAATAGAGTGGGATTTTGATTAGGCTTTGAGTTTAGAAGTACTAAATGAAGACTTTATTTTCTTCACTGCAGGCTGACCCTAAGGTTGTGGTTGCCTACTTTGGCCTGTACTAAATCAGTGGGACCTGACAGTGATAGCTGGTGGCAGAAGCATGCCAGCAATAATGATCAGTCAGTAGTTAAAAATTTCTCATGAATTTAATTAAAGTAGTAAGTAAGGCTTTCTGTTGCATGACAGGTTTTTTTGGAAGTTGTGTGTTGTTTTTTCTGTTTTATAACTTGAGTTATAATTTAGTTGTGTTTCTTGCAAAATTTAGTTCTGGTTTCTTGTTTTTACTCAATTTTTGACCCAAGCACCCATGTAGGTTTTTTGGCATAGAAGACTGCTATATTTTCATGAAAGAACTCACTGAGTTCAGTTATTGGTTAAAAATAACTGGTTATGTCCAGTGTTTAAAACATGACTGTTAGGAAGTAGTTCATATTCTTTAGCAAAGTACTAATAAAAAAAAAATAATCTAAAAAAATAGATTTTTCCATTATGATTTACTTAGAGCTATGTTACTAATTACTGTTTGCTCACAACAGAGACATGAAACTGCAGTCAGGATTGGTTTTCCACCGCAAACATAGCTAAAAGTTGTAGTATAACCCAGAAGCATATGCAAGAAATGATGGGGAGTTTCTAAGGAAAGAGAGATACAAAAGAATATACTACTAATTAAAAAATCCTAGTTAGGTGTTTTTAGGTTCTTCAAAGCATCTGCTATAAATAGTTATTAACAGGATATTACTGATACATCACTAACTCCTGCTGATGTGATGATTTGTTTGTCGTTTGCCAGTTTAGCATAGTAATTGTGATAGATAGTTGCTTGCAGAAAGAACATCAGCTCAAATTATGGCCACCTTGGTGTGATGGTGGAGATCTAGAAGGCTTTTAATCTTGCTGATTAAATCTCTACCATTGTAAATAAAACTGGTATCCCAGTAGAGATACACAGTCCCTCTGCACACAGAAAGTGTAGACAGAGGGAGGTGAAAGCGTAGAGCTCTGTTGCATGCCTGTTATTTTCAGCAAAATAGTTACACTGCTGGATGGGGAAATATGTGTTGTGCCAAATATAGACATGGTAGTTCATGCCTTTCTTTGAGCAGGAGATCTGGGACAGAAATGGCAATGTGCAGACCAATAGATACGCCAGTTGCCAGGCATTTATTCTTAGTGTGGGTAGGTTATTCAGCTACCATTAATGAACTGATCTATTTATGTAACACTGTGATCCTTTTGTAATGTAGGTGAGGAAGCTGAGCAGAAGTTCAAGACTTTAAAAACTGAAGGGAATGGTTTTGTAAAAGAGGGTAAATATGAAGAAGCTGTAAACAAATACAACGAATGCATGAAGTTAAATACCACAGAATGTGCAATCTACACTAACAGGTAAAGATGCAAAATATAAACCCACTTTAGTGGCAGTAGTTGTATTTTCTCAGTGGAAATAGAGATTTTTGAATCCCTTCAGTCCCCACCTGATGAGTGTTTCTAACTGATTTTTTTTGTTAAACCACATTATTCTCCAAGGGGAGCAAGTAATAATGCCACTAGCATGTACCTTTATGTATCTCTATATATATAGAGTATGCAGTAGTGAAAGTTACAATAAGTGTAGAGTTTTGCAGCATTTTGGAGAATACTGATATGATTTTAATTAAAAGCTAACGTGCCGTAGCAGTATCTCAGATATGAAAAGGAATAATTCAGAGAAAATGTACATGATGGAGGGAAGGAATGCCATCCAAAGGGACCTTGACACGCTTGTGAGGTGGGCTGATGCCAACCTCATGAAGTTTAACCATGACAAGTGCAAGGTCCTAAACGTGGGCCAGAGGAATCCCAGGCACAGATCCAGGCTGGGCAGAGAAGAGATTCAGAGCAGCCCTGCGGAGAAGGACTTGGGCGTGCTGGTCGATGAGAAAATGAACATGAGCTGGTTTCAGTGTGCGCTTGCAGCCCAGAAAGCCAACCATATCCTGGGCTGCATCAAAAGGAGTGTGACCAGCAGGTCGAAGGAGGTGGTCCTGCCCCTTCATTCTGCTCTCATGAGACCTCACCTGGAGTATTGTGTGCAGTTCTGGTGTCCTCAACATAAAAAGGACATGGAACTGTTGGAACAAGTCCAGAGGAGGGCCACGAGGATGATCAGGAGACTGGAGCACCTCCCATATGAAGACAGGCTGAGAAAGTTGGGACTGTTCAGCCTGGAGAAGAGAAGGCTGGGTGGAGACCTCATAGCAGCCTTCCAGTATCTGAAGGGGGCCTATAAGGATGCTGGGGAGGGACTCTTCATTAGGGACTGTAGTGACAGGACAAAGGGTAACAGGTTAAAACTTAAACAGGGGAAGTTTAGATTGGATATAAGGAGGAAATTCTTTCCTGTGAGGGTAGTGAAGCACTGGAATGGGTTGGCCAGGGAGGTTGTGAATGCTCCATCCCTGGAGCAAGGCCAGGTTGTATGAAGCCTTGGGTGAGATGGTTTAGTGTGAGGTGTCCCTGCCCATGGTAGGGGGGTTGAAACTAGATGATCTTAAGGTCCTTTCCAACCCTAACTATTCTATGATTCTATTATTTTTGAAAAAATGAAAGTAGGAACAGCCATACAACAGTGTTATTTTAAAGTTTGACCTAATTCTGCATCATAATTCTTCATGCTGTAGTCTTACCAGCTTTCACAAACTAAGAAGGATTTGATAAGGCCACTACTTGAAGAGGAGACTTCCAAGTAATAATTATGTGCAGAAAGTACTGTTTATTTAATCTAGAACACTTCTATGAGCTACTGTACTATGATATTGTACTAACATAGGCTCTGCCTTTAAAATACTTACATATCTGCCTAATTTCAAGCATTAGTCATGCTTGAATTTTGACTTTTATTGGAGGAATTGACCTTTGCTAAATCTATCCAGAGATGTCACTGCTACCTACTGGGTTTTATGTACTTTAAAAAATAACCACATTGAGAGTGAATTATGAGAAGTATTATAATGAGCATTTATGAGTCAGATACTGTTGGCACTACAGCACTGTAGAATTTACTTATATTGCAGTGTATTCTGTTTTTCTGTGTTAGAGCTCTCTGTTACTTGAAACTGTGTAAATATGAAGAGGCTAAGCAGGATTGTGATCATGTTCTTCAGATAGAAGATTCTAATATTAAAGCTTTTTACAGAAGAGCACTAGCGTACAAAGGATTACAGGTGAGGAAAAAGAACATGGCAGGTATTCTTATGGCACTTCTAAACTTGCTTATCCTCTTCAAAGACAATCAGGTAGATGCACTCAGTGGGTAAATACAAACATACAAAAGTATGCTGTGCTGATGTTTTATTACTTTTTAGAGCATTAGGCATACATAAAATCTTATATAAATATTTTTGCAACATAAAAACCTATTGACCTTATTACAAGAACATTGGAATAAATGAGGTTTGACTGGAGATTGGTTATGCAAGTTTCAGCTCTGTTCTAATGTTTTAATACTCTTTTGGGTATCCCACTCTGTTTTTTCTGTCAAGGTGTTTACTCTGTCTTTGCTGATGAGAAATGGATTCTCTCCAAGTCTGCCTGCCACTGTCCATACTCAAATCTCAAATCTCAAGGTGTCTTTTGGCATCTGCTCATATTTGAGTGCTTGTCATTATTAAACCAGGGCTTTAATTGTCTTGGTTTTCTCTCTCTTCCTTCCCCAAGCACATTAAGAACCTTTGTTAGTAAACTACTTTCTGGATGGTATTGGTATTCAAACTTTTCCATTTACACATTGGTGGTGGTGTCTATACTGTGCTCATCTTACAGTTTTTTGAGTATCCTTTTACTTGATCATCATAAATGCAGGCTTACATTGCTCATATCCATCCTAAATGTGACTGCAAATCTTGTGTTCCATCACTTGAATGACTTCATTCCTTTTGTCCCTGTTGGTTCCCATTCTTCAGTGTTGTTAATTAGCCCCTGCACTTCATAATCCTTTCATAGCAGTCTTTATCCTATCTGTCAGCACTTACCTGGTATTAAATTATCAGCTTCTCTCTTCTGTTGGCTCATGATGGCAGCTATCCTCATCTACTTTGTATGAAATTTTACAAATGTCTTTTAAACAAGCATATCACAAGCTTTCTCTTATGCTGCTCTTCACAACTGGAAGTGATCACTCCAGGCATCCACCAAGGTTTGGCAGTGTCCATCAAGTGAATACTTACCTCAAACCTCTATTATATTTAATGTCTTAAGGTCTCTCAGCCCTCGAATCACCTGAGGACAGCCTGTTTGTGCTTAGCCTTATAATAGGCCATTCTTGTCCCATATTACAATTCCAAATGCAAATCATAGAAGCCATGAGATCTTTTGTTTGTGATAAATTTGTTCCCTTGTTGCAGTAGCTATGAAATTTTGGAAGTTTGCTTGAATTTTCAAAGGTGGTGAAAAGTCTTACTTTTCCATAAAATCTTTTCTGTAATTACACCAAGCTACCCAGTATTAATCATCTGTAACCTTATGCCGTTGAAGTTGATAAAAAATTAGTATAAATATGAGGAAAGGCAGATAGTGATTCTACCAGTCAAAATAAAGGGAATTACCTGATAGTGAAGAATGTCAAGAATTAGAGAACTTAACGTTTTTTTGAATGTCCTAGGAAAAAAATGCTGGTTTTGTATTATTGAAGACATAACGTGAAACACACTGCTTATGGATCCTTTCAGAACAGTCTCTGCTGGGGACTCCCAAAATACTCTGTTGTGGTTGGATTTAATGCCTTCATTATTGCTAATTCCAGGAATGTGAGTGATTCGTAAAGCCAGAGAAAGTAACAAAAGTGATTTGAGGTTGACTAATGACTCCGTTATGAAAAATTTTAAGAGCTAAAAGCATGTAGCTTGGCAAAGAACTATGCTGGGAACTGGTTTTCCTATATAAATATCCAGATATTTAACCACAAAATCTGCAGTGGAATTTAATGGAGTAAATGAGATGTTTTAATAGGTTTACTGGATGTATTTAAGGGAAGATCATGAAAAAATCATGTTTGTGTGATGAATCAGGCCTGTAACATAGTACACAGGACCCTGGTCTGCATGTCCTTATAGTCTGGCTTATAGTCCAGTCTCTTGCTTTGGGTACAGCCATTTTGTATGATTTTTGTTGCGAAGTGTGTCAGGCTGTATTTTTAAAGCCAGGAGGGTTGGTTGTTTGCTGACCATTGTGATCATTTCCAGAAGACTGGTCCAAAATCTCATTTCTCTGTAGTTGTGAATACTCATACCTGTAATTCAGATGGTTTAGCTTAATTAGTAGCTATGTCCTGATTAAAGCAGTATGCCCCTTCCTGCATTCATAAAGCTAAATAATTCTAGTTCACTTTGTTCATGCTGTAGCAGACTTCACTTCACTTACAGACTTATTGCAATGTCTCTGCACCTTGAATACTGGTCATCAGTTTTGAACAAAATAGTCTGTGTAGGAAAGAGAAAATGAGTGACTTATACACTAGTGCTTCTATTTCAGTTGAGATGCTGAGGAAATACCTCAGTTGGTATATGAGGACTTTTTTTCACGATAATATACATTACTTATAGCAACCTGATGATACTGCTTAGGAACAGAAGAAATATGAGGTCCCTCACACAAAGAAATTACATCAATCTTTTCATATCTGCATGGTCTTCTACTATTTGCCGCTACATTTCATCCTTATTTTTAACTCCGGCCATCAAGGTGTCTTGATTTTTCTGTGATATTCTAGTCTTCCACAGAATTGATGCTGTTAACTTTATCTCTCCAGAAAATGTAGTCTAAACCCCCATAATTTTTAATGGTAAAATTTGAAATAAAAACATTAAACACAAGTGTGGGTCCTAATGAACACTCTGTGGCTGTGTTTGTCCTCCTAAACCTGTTCATCTCAGAGTTCATAACATCATCCCAGTCTTTTAAGTATTACCAAAAATTTACAGTGTTACACTGTAAGCAGTTGTGGTTAAAAGCAGCAATCTTCAATAATCTATTCTCTCATATAGGGAATTTCCCCTGAAACCATAATGAAATTACACTGTCTGTATTTAGATTATTTTTGTCTGTTTAATGTTGAGATCCCAGTATTTTTATTCTCCTTAATTGTAAAAGAAGTTATGGTAGTTCACATTTGTTTTTCTAGTGGTGGGCTTATGAAAAAAGTATTTTTCCTTCTGCTTATAGAATTATCAAGCCAGCGTTGATGATTTGAACAGAGTACTTCTAATAGATCCAAACATTCTTGAAGCAAAAAAGGAGCTAGAGGAGGTAACCCAGCTGCTTAACGTTGACAGCAGTGCTGCAGCTGGCAGTCAAGAAAAGCAAAGGAAGAAAATAACCATCCAAGAGGTATGTGTGTTCATTTTTAAAAGCAGGCAGTATAGAAGCCACACATTTGAAAAGATAATACTGAATCTTTTGGTTTGCACTTCTTAGCTCTAGTTTTTTTGGGTGTTGGGATTGTATTTTTCATGTTATCTTGAGGGCATGTTGGAGGATTCTTGCATATGTATTGAGTGTCCATTATATTCCATAGTAAAGCTTGGACTGCTTTGAAGTGTGTTCAGAACCATAGCAGGAATGGAGAAAGTACATTAAGAGGCCACAGAACTTGAGGGTGTGCTCCTTGTAAACAAAAACTGCTTAGACTTAGAATACCTGTTTTACAGAATGTAACTGTCAAACAGCAGTTGCGCTCTTAAATTCTGTGCTACTCAGGAAGCCTCTGGGGCTGTGCTGGCAGAGGTTCATTGTCAGCGGGCATTCTGGCTGTTCTGGTGCTAGCAGTAAAGTTTCTGAAGGATGAAGTCCCACCTTAAAGAGCTAAAGTATGGGTAAAACATCTGTAGGATCTTAGAAATATGTGATGTGATGTTCTGTACTGGATCAAAATGTTAGCATTGCAGAGTTCTGGATAGAATTAGGCGACGAAAGGATTTTCTCAGTCACCTGATATTTTTGGATTGTAGCTTTGCTCGTCCTTCAAGAATGTTTGGGGTTTTTTTCCCATTTAATTTTGAAACAGTTAAAAATACGTAGTTCCCAGTCTGTATGGTGATACTGTAATTTGATAACATAATTTCAAAATGCTGGTGTAATGGAAACGTTGGTTATTAATATAGAAAAAAATTGTTTTACTGAAACACTTCACATTGTCATGAGTTCATAGGATTTTATGTAACTGGCGTAAGCTGAGTGTAGTGTTAGTTCTCAGTTGTGACAAACAGAGGGTCCTGGAGAGTGTGCACAGGAGGTTTGCGAAGTGACCACATTGTTCAGGGACCAGCTAACTACATTAGTGGCAATGGTAATTTTTCCAGGGGTGGGGCAGGAATCATTCATGTTTGCTGTCATAATTACAGCTGCCCTCTTAAGAGAGCCTTCCCTAGCTCATCTTGCTGTAGTATAAGGTAGGTCCATGAAAACAGGCTGCAAAATAAGAAAGTCAGAAACTGGGATTTATCATTATTCCATTTTAATCAAGCTATAAATATATGAGACAATAAAGATTTCTCTTCTGATAGTAAAGATTGTTGAAAAACAGAACAAAATGGCTGTAAGCCCAGTGCAGTATTTTCCTAAAAGACTAACTTAGCCCCCTGTACTGTACAGTACAGTGCCTTAGACTTTCTAAAACACTTGGCCTCCTTTGAAGAGACCCTGTTTAATGAGTTTCAGTCAGTTTATACAAATTCCATGACTCCTGGTAACTTGAAGTAGATTTCAGACAATGTAGTTGGGCCCATGGTTAATTTTCTAGTGACTGATTCATGAAACTCAGTGCAGGCTGCACACTTGGGAGAAGTTAGGTGTGTATTCAGGCAATCAGACCATGCTGAGCTTTCTCTTCCCCAGTGAGGCTCCACCAGCAACCTGAAGTAGCTGCCATATATAGCTGTGTTGTTCTGAAGGCACAGCAGTGAAATGGAACACTGGTGTCTGGTGACTTGACTTCTTTTGCTTGTCTTCTGCAACTGCACGTTTAATATGCATATAGAGTCCTCCTTAGATTTTTCCCAGTGGTCTTCAGTTGTCTTTCTACGGTGGAGTGCCAAACAGTGAAAGGAAATGTAAAATACAGGCTTTTGACTACAAACCTTTAAAGATGAATTAGAGAGGTACTATTCTGGGGGGAAGTAGAACATAAAAGAACATAGGTGCCTTTCTTTTATGAAGAGTAAAATGCTAACTTTAATGTGGTGACATTATTGATGGACTATAGGCATATAGTTTATGAAGCTTCAGGCTGTTGGTATGTCTATGTTGAAACGATTTGTTGCCGTTTTGTTTGTGAAGGTGACTGGATCTGATGAAGAAGAAGAGAGACCGTTTGCTACATCAGATGTGACTGATGGCATTACTTCTAAGGAAGCAGTTCAGGAGAGTGTGTCACTGAAGACCTCTGAGAAACTGCCGATTTCTGAACCAACTAATGCTTACGACTTCGGTCAGATTATAAATGCAGTGAATAGCAATAATGATAAAGCTGCTTGTGCAGATCTTTTAACAGTTACTGATCCCAAAAAACTGCCAGTGCTGCTAAGTAACAAACTTGAAGGAGAAATCTTTCTGTTTTTCATCCAGTCATTGGAATATTATGTAGTTGGAAAAGATCCTGGTCTTGTATATCAGCACCTTTTCTACTTGAGCAAAGCAGAAAGATTTAAGGTAAGAACCTAGACTGAACGTGTGCTTCAGTTGCACTGAAACCTAGAGGAAATTTTCATATCTTAAAAGGAAACAGTACACAGATTTTGGCTCTGTCAGATACTATGATTTTCAATCAAACTATGCTAATTATAAAATAATCTGCTTTTTCAGGTGGTGCTGGCCCTTCTTAGCAAAAATGAGAAGGAACAGGTTCAACAACTGTTCAGTTTACTTCCAGAAAACCAGAATAATCAGTACTCTTCAGAAGATCTTGAGAGCCTTAAAAAGGTTTATGAACTTTAAGAACTTAAAATTTATTGGTTGCATGCATATGGTTGATGTTTAGAAGATGGATGTTTGAACTCTGAAGACTTGCATGGGTTGCAGTGGGTCTTTACCCAGGCTGTTTGAATTCTATTTTGTTTTGACAGCATATGCACATTTAAAATTTGCTCTTTTTTTGTTTGTTTCTTATAGTTGTATACATTTTTAATCTCCAGAATTTAATGCATATCATTGTGTTCAGTAGCAGAGTTCATGTAGTTTAGCATACTGATTTTATTTAGACTGGTTTAATTATATATATGAAAATATATTTTACACTAGGTATATAATGTGAAATGTCTTGATGGTACAATAGAGAGCACTGTTAGTCATCACTTGTTATATCATTTTGTGAGTTGTATGTTCTTGTGATAAAGAAACGTCTTCAAACTAAACGGGTCAGTTAGCAATAGCTTTGCTAATATGAGTTTACAAAAAGTATTAACATTTTGCAGATACATTACTTAGGCTGCCTGTTTCTTCACTGTCCTTTGTCTATACAAAATGGATTTAAATACTATTTCTGTAACGCAGATAAGCAGCAAAGGTGAATGAATAATATGTTAGCTTGTCATGGAACACTTTAAATCACAATAATTAATTATTAAATAATTATTAAATAGGTATGGGTTTTGGCAAGCAATTAGTTTTCAGTGCAGAGAATTCTGCTTTTTCTCTGTGTGTGGAAGGACCATTGGTTCATGTGGCCTTTGAGGTGGCAGTTACAGGCAGAACAAGCGGCTGCGCTTAGCAGTAAAAATACTTAACTCTGAGTTCCTTAATCAGATTATTTCAGACACCAGCTATTTCTGTTTACAGACATTGATAAAGCCAAAAGTAAAACCATTCTGTGGACCAGTATGACTTTTTTTTTTTATTTCAGGCAGGACTTTCATGTTTTATATTGGATTCTGACAAAGCTCCTTTTTTAAAGATAAAGCTCTTAAAATACCCCAATGCCTTCTTTGCACATGTGATACAAATGTCAAACTCACTGGCACTGTAGAGACAGCAGCAAGAATGTTATTCTAATGAAAATATTTCTCAGGTGTAGATTAACTGAAAAAAAAAAAATAAAGGTTTTTTTTTCTTGAAAAGTGTAATTTTGGATTCTCTTTCCTGGTTCTACACTCTTAGGGCTTGTAATCCTGACATGTGGAGCACGGCAGATGTAGAGTGCCAAGAACAAGGCTTTTAATTCCTAAAACAACTTAGGATTTTTCTTTTTAAATGCCCTCTTTTTATGAGGCTGTCATGTTCAGGAGAGATCAGTCACTCACCTGTCTGTGTGTGACCCGTTGTACTTAACCAGCAAAGGGTCAGTTTCAGTCATGGTGAAAGGTACCTTCACTAATTTCTGTGTTAGCGATTGCAGTCTGCAGTTTAGTATGTTCAGAGAATATTCATGTGTGCAGCTTACTGACATGGTTTAGAAAACTTAATCCATTTTCATTTAGTAGAATCCAGAGTGGTTTTAATAACAGTAAGTAATAAATTGGAGGATTGTATTAATAATACATGGATTAGGAAAAAGTTACTTTGCCTAGAAGAAAGCATAAAACCCAGCTACGTAGTTCTAATATAGTTCTAATACAGTTTTAGTTGCTTGGAAACTGTAGTTGAGTAAGAGCCAGTGGCAAAAGCCACCACATCAGAAAATCTCATGATGAAATTAAGTATTTTTTCATGCCACCCAACCCCCCAAGTATTAAAAACTCTTCAGATATCTTCTGAGAAGCAGCCCTGACTGCTGAAGTTGGTATCTCATATGTATAGTTCATTTTGATGCTAAAGACAAACATCAGAATAGTTGTGGCAGTAGATCATAAGAAAGAATTTAGCACATCTAGGAAACAGACAGACGTTATTAGAAATACAAAGTGTTTTAAATAGGGTGTTCTTGATAAATCTTTTATCCATGAAGAGAAAGAAATGTGTTGTCATAGGTGGGTGTACAGTATCGCAGTAAAGTTTTGGTCAGTCCCTAGCAATTAAACTAGAAACCTTAAAGTAATTCAGAGGAAAGTAGCCCAGGAGTCCAGGAAGATACCTTTTCCTGTAATACCTTCCACTTGAATGGCATCTGAACCAGAGGTTAATTGGGTTTGAGGTGGAAATGATGGAGATGAGCAGATCAGGAAGCTAAAATTACCCCTTGGTAAGAAGTCCTAAATGAAGAACTGTGGCAGTGCTGGTAGGAGGGAGCTGTTGCCAGCTGCAGGCAAGGCTCTGTACCCACGTGTCTCGGATGTAGTCAGCAGGAGATTAACAGAAATCCTGATTCAAAAGACCAGCACTTTGCTGTGAAGTCACCCATTTCCCTACAGCAAAGAGCTGATCAGGTGCGTGTCTGTCTTCAGTAACAAGAGGGCAGGATTTCCTGGAGAGCTTAAACTTGGCCCTAACAAAACAAAAAGGTTTTCATTTTCTGTGTGTGATTAAGCCTGATCTCCTCAATCTTGAGGCAGGCAACCTTTAGACAACCTCCAGCCTACCCTAACCACTCTATGGTAGATAACCCCTTTCCTAGAGCTGATCTCAACCACCATTACAGTATGTTCCCAGCCTTTGTTGCATACCAGGAGCTGCTTTTTCAGATCTTTCAGCTCATTCCAGTCCATGATCCCAAAGGGACTAGATATATTCTTGAAGTCATGAGTTCTTGAAGCTCCCACCAGGCCAGGCACACACTCGCAGCAGCTCCAGGGCATCAGCTGCAGCTTTGAGAGATGTCTGAATTTCCTCCAGCACCTTATTCCTCACCTCACTCCAAAGTGAACCTGTGACACAAGACCTTCAGCAGCCACTGATGCAGTAATTATGAATGCCCTGCACTATGAGTAGTAGACCTTTAAAGTTGTAGCTGTGCTAAACCTGTGCTACATCTATTTTTAAACTATCAGGTCAGCTGTATTACCTGCAAGCCGTTTTTGCCTGATGTGCCTCATACCTGTCTCAACCAGAAACTTTTGGTTTCAGCTTCCGAAGTTAAAGAAATACATAAACCACAAGGGAATAAAGAAGAAACTGAAACGTTTCTTATTTTAATAGCAGAAAGACTAACTCAAATATGTATTTCTTAAATAAGTTAGCAACTCTCAAATGTAAGAAAAATGGCTCAGTTTGCCAGGTGAGCTGTTGGCAACACCACCAGTGGGCTAGCTGTGGTTGCAGTCATGTTGGTGATGGTCCTACCTCATTCAGGTTTCATTGAGATTGACTGCTTAGTTTGGACTGGGACTGGGAGGGCTAGGCTGACAGGCAGAACAATTCCTAGAGACATAGAATGAACTTCCAAGAAGAATCAACTCAAACATCTTGTTAGGGCCTGTACTGATTTGGCATGAACAGAGCAAGCTGAGGCCACCAGGCTTCAAAGGCTGCCCCTTCTGCAGGGCAGTGTTTGACTGCTGGAAGCCATTCTGGAGGCGCAGGGGGTGAAAAGGAAAACTTTCAGATGTTGATGTCCTAAACCCACTTACTTGGCAGATGAGGGTTGCCTAAACGTGTCCGTCCTGGGAACATCCTGGGGAAACCTCATCAGGGCCAGAGGGAGGAACCTCTGCAGCCCTGAGCAGCTGACGCCTGTTTCAAAGCGCTCCTTTGCACATGGATGCAAACCCTGTTTTTAACACCAGTGGAGGTAGCGAGTTTCTGTAACTACTGGAAAGGTGGCTAGTGTCCATGGAATAGAGCCTGCCGGGAGCCAGGGCTTCACTGCTGTGGTTTTGATCCCTTCAAAGTATTTCTGAAATCCACAGGGAAGCGGCTCCGGGTGGAACCGCTGCTGTCACCCAGAGAGGTGCTCCAGGGGATGAGCATCATCACAGCACCGCTGTCACTGGCCAAAAAGCTGGTTTACTGCAGCGCCCTCGCCACCACTCTTCCCAGACAGGAGCGCAGGCAGCAGAGACCTGAGAGCCCAGTTACTGGCAAACCACACACTTCGCCCTTACATCTTTTTCCACTCACCAGAACCTGCTCTGCTTTATGTAACACAGCTGCCCAACTACAGAGCTATTCCCGGTGCCTGCCAGGCCTTCCATAAGCAAACTGAAGTATTTGCACTTGTTCATTACAATAGACAAGATTTGTGAACAGCAGCAAAACAGACTCCTTCCCCACTTGTAAATGGAGGTGTGTGCCATGGGTCAGTGTAACTGCTCACTGCCTGCAAGCTGCAGCAACCCAAGGATGAAGGGCAGGCACCTCGGAGCAGGTTCAAACCCCAGTGCCTGGCTGAAGGAGCATTAAACATCACCTCTCCATCCAGGAGTGCTCCCTTGCTCAATGCAGCACTGTTTTCCTACACACATCCCAGCGCAAGGCACATCCTCCAGCTGCAGCAGTGCAGGGCCCTGGTGTCAGTTCCTTGCAGCCCGGTGCTATTTCTCAGTTGCTGCTTGCTAAATAAATAAATTGTAAATAAATTCAGCAACATGAGAGTGTTTCTGTCAGGAAGCGAGAGGGATTATAGGGGGATAAAGTTATTGGCCCAGAGTGGTGGGCTCAGAAACAACTTGAGCACACAGCCTGTGAGGAAAGGGTAGCTTGAGCCACATAAACCCCATCATGCTGATGGCCTGCTGCCTAAACCCAACCGCTCTAATTCAGGCTGTTGTGAATTTTAATTTCCTTACTGTCACAAGCAATAACAGTCCTTTTGTCAAGCACATTCAGCAGGATCTGCTGACGGGAGAGCTGTGCCTGGGCAGCTGATGGCTTTGCCCACCAGGATGACTGCTACTGGTACCTGGTGTGCAGGCAGGTTCTGAAGCAGTCATGTCTCAAGGATACGCACTGACCCAGCCCAGCCCATGAGCGAGGTGTGACAGCAACTCCATGTTTGTGGTTGAGCTTCCGGCTGCTGCGAAGAGGCAGGATTCTGTGCCAGGAGGATACCTGCCCCCTCTGCTGCCGCATACCAGCTACCCAGAACATCTCAGGGAAACCGAGTGCACCAGCTTCATCACTTGTTGGTATCAGCCCAGAGGTTGGCAATGGAATGCTCTGACCCTCCTGTGCTCCCAGGCGCTGCAGCTCCCCATGGTTCCCACAGAGCATACAGTTGGAACATCACAGCTGGGAGCTGCTGATGGGGCAGCAGTGCTGGCAGGAGCTTCACACACGGCTGTTTGTGACTGAGGAGCAGCAGGACGGACTTCCTCGGCCGTACAGTCCCACTCACTTCAGGCCTCCCGTGTTGCTGAAGTGGCAGCTCCCTGTTAGTGCTGACACCAGAGCAGTGCTCAGCCCTAGCCCAGTGCCCAGCATCCATCAGCACTGGATGAGCGCTCCCTGCACTCTGCAGGCGGGCACCTCCTGCGTCACTTCCCCTTTCTTGGAGCCCACAGTGCAGTGGAGGCTGGGAGCTGCAGCACAGAGCACACGGACACCAAGGACAGCAGACATGGGAGTATCAAGCAGTCCCAGAGACACTGGCATTGTCAGAGCACAGCTGCGCAATGTGGACCAAAACCCCAAACACTGACATAGGACAGGGTATTTTACTGGTCTCAGTTTCTGCTCAACACTTCTGGCCCCCTTCCGGGTATGACTTGGCTTAAATATGATTGAATAAATTTTAACCAGACAATGCCACAGCGTGTGACCTGGTATTTTGGGCCTGGGGTTTTTTTTTGGTTTTCAGTGATGAAACTAAAATCTCTCCCCACAGCACCTGAATCAAGCAAACTTTCCTTAGGAAATTACATTTAATTTCATTAATTCAGTTCATATTTTTCAGCCATCTGCTCGGTTACCCTTACAAAGCACTGCTACCCACAGGAGTGATGCCATCACTAAACAGGCAACTATTTGATTTGCAGATCAAAATGACTGGAAGAGATAGAAGCCATGCAAAAGATGTTTTCATGCCGCTAAAAAGGTGCCAGCTCACTCATGCAGACGTTTATGGCACTGATTCAATGAAAAGGGATGTAAAACTCCAGATGCTTTGCTACCACAAAAAGGCAGCTATTACATGAGACATCAGATTCAAAACTAAACTGAAAATAAAAGCCAAAGGGGAGGTTCACCTTCTGCTGCATGGCATGGAGCAAAGAACTGGCTTAAGTGAAAACAACTGGCAAAGAACT